CGCATCCCTGCCTTGGTGGTCGCTGACCAGCCTCTCCTGTGCCGGCCTTCCCGCCGCCGCTGCCGATGAGCTCGCCGCTCCTCCTCCAGCTGCCTCCTGAACTGCGCCTTCTGCTTCTTCAGGATCGCGCCCTTCTCGATGGACTGACAGCGGGTAAACCGCAGCTGGCTGCCTGAGCGGCACGATCGTGATCGCGAGCTCGCTAGCCGCGACCACGCGCTTCACCTGCAGTTGTCGGATGCACCCCTGCGAGGTCAGCGGGGATAGTCTCCCACTGCGCGCCTCCAGCACGCTCGCATAGACCCCGCACCTCGGCGCGAAGCCTGCCTTCAGCAAGTCCTGCTGCGCGACGATCGGGCACTTCGCGTTCGTCGCTTGGAACCTGAACTTCGTGATCTCGTGCTGCTGGTTCGTCGCCCTCGCGATGAAGCTGACTTCGGAGGCGCCGTCGTGGATGGTCTCGTGGCCAGTGGCCGCCTCCAACGGCGGTGGCTTCATGGGCTCGGTCCACTGCCCTGCGCCCAATGGCCCTTCCCCCCCAGAAGGATGGCGGGCATGTGGTGATGCCGGCCCCGCTGTCGATCATCAGATCGTCGTAGTCGTCGTTCTCGTGGGGGCCTTCGCTGGCCGATGATGTAAACGGTCTCCTCCTCGTCCGTGTCTGGCCAGGGGTAAGCTCGATCTTCTCCAACAGTGGCGCTCCTTATCTTGCGCTGCCCCAGCCGCGTCGCTGCCATCGCTGTCGGGGGCGCTGCAGTCGGGGCCGTCCCACCTGTGGACTGCGCCAGGCGCCTCGCCATGTCCAGGTGGTGCTGGGTCAGCATAGAGACGGGAATGGCGTTGGCCATCGAGGCGGAGTCATTCGGGCCAAGAGTGTGCACTGTGCTCTGTGCACTTAGACCTGTCGCCGCGGCAATGTGAGGGCACTGCTGCTGCTGAGGAATGCGAGCGTTCGTCTTGCTGTGCTGCTGCGCTATCCTCTGGTCATACCTGCGCTTCTTCCTGCGCGTCTCCGTCGCGTGGCCTGCGATGTTGCGCCAGTCGCACCACTAACTCTTGTCGGTGTTGGTCTTCCCCTTGCCATCGTTGCCGTTGCCTTTGCCATCTCGTGACTTGCCTCCTCTGTGCCGAGGACGAACTGCGTCGACGTCCATCGGCTTGACCTGGCCATCGTCTCTGCGCCACACCCGCTGATTCACAATGTAGTCCATGACGTCTTTGCGGATGTCGCGGTGCCAAACTGGCCGGCTTGAGTTCAGCGTCAAGTTGGACTTCAGGACTTCATCTTCCTGTCCCTGGACCAACGCCTTCGACTTGATGCTTTCTGGTAAGACATCCTTCCGCTTGCTCCTCATATTCTGCACTTTTCGCTCCCGCGTCTCGATGGCTTCTCTGTGGCCTGCTCCTGCCTCGAACGTCGCGATCAATGCCCTGGCGTCCCCGAGCTCTCGGCTCGTGCTCTACGATGAGTTGCCTCCACGCTTCGAAGCCATCGACGACGTGATATTCTCTATCAGCTTGAACCCTCGAGACTCCATTGTCATGCTAACCGTCAGCACATGAAACAGCGTCCGTGATCTCTTGTCGTCTCCAACCTTCTCGTCGGCAAACGATCTGCCCATGACTATCTCCTCGCGTGGCCGACCTGTCCATCAGCTCGATGGCGCGCTCATCCTAGCTCCTGCCGCAGCGCCCAGGCCAGCCACCCTTGCAGCGGCGCGAGCCGCTGCCGCTTGCCGCCGATCTGCTCGCTCTCTGGCTTCCCGTGCCTCGTGTGTCAGCTCTGCGTCGTTGATCTCCAGCTGCTCGGTTCCCCGTGGTATCTCCTCGGTGGCTGTCATCGCGCGCCCGACCTCTCTGCTTAGCCCCCTGAAATGGCCGAACCGCGCCAGGAACCTCGCAACCCATTTTTGCGCGATGAAGCCGCTCACGATGCGCTTCCAGCTCCTGTCGGTGTCCGTTGTCACACCGAGCCAGGTGCAGCCCTGCTCGTCAGTCTGGAAGCCCGTGTCCGCGGCGCTCGTAGCACCGCGGCTCCGCGCTGCCATCCGAGCGCCCAGAACGGGCGGTAACGAGCGAAAGCTCCGAGGATTAGATGCGGCATCCTTTGGCTCTTGAGCCTGCGAGGGGCTATGATCAACATGAATGTTGTTCTGATCCTCTTGGCTACGATGGCGCGACGATGTCTCGCGCCCCCCCCCGGCAAGATCTGCGCGCCTGATGCCTCCACTTGTGTACTTTTTGACGAAGACGGCGATGTGTTTGACGCGTGGTGCATTATTTAAGCCGTGTAGCGATAAACAGCGCTGAGCATTTGAAGACTGCTTGCCGCCCCTCCCTTTTGTTCCTCCACCGAAGTTCCCAAACCCGACGAACGCGCCCGTCTTCCCAAGCTTTGACTTTTTGAAAAATGCCTGGCGGATTTCCCAGCGCCCAGAATTATAGGCGGCGCTGGCGGCCGGGCCACGTGCAAAGCCATTGCTTCATTTGCCTTGGGGCCGAACTTGTTGCCGAGGAATCTGCGCATGGAGCCGCAATTTGCATGTGTTTTCGCGCGCCGGTGTTCCCGGGCCCGTTCCGCGCTCGCTTTCCGGTGAAACATCGCGCCCCAAAGCTCCATTTCCCCCGCGATCGGAACCCCCGGCCCGAAACCGGGGGCCTGCATGCCAAGGCAATCGCAAATGTGCCCATCATTTTTTCGCGCAATCCCGCGGTGCAGATTTAGGCGCTTCGCCTGCGTGACCAATGCGCCCGCGAGTGGCTCCTGGGGGCGGCGGCGGCGAATGGCCAGATCAGATTTTACTATATTTCCATGTCATCTGGAAGCCCGCCGCGGCTAACGCGAAAAGAAACATATCGGGCAGCGCACATCGGGCAGCAGCTGGCGCATCGTCGTCACGGAGGCCGCGGGCGCGTTGAGACTGTCCGCCCGCGCGAGGGGGCCCAACCCAGCGTCGTCGACCCGAAAGCTGGGGGAACTGCCCCGTCCACGCGCCCGCCGCCGCCCCCGATCCCGTCTGTGTAGATGCCCCCCCTTCAGCTCGAGAAGCTCCCTCGCGACCCCGGCGGCGAGGTTTGCAAGTGCACCTGCGGCCGATGGAGCTTTCGAAACCAGTTCGCGCCGCGTCGCGTCGAAGACGAGCCCGGTATCCAGGGGCGCAACCAGGGCAGGCAGGATGTAGACGGAATGCGCATGATGTGCGAAGGGCGCGCGCGACGATATCTACCAATTGTTGCGCGCGCCTCCCAGGGCCGCCCCCGAAAAAAACCTCTTGCGCGCGCGGGGCCCGATGCTCCGTCGCGCGGCGGCGACGAGGCAACGCGGGCACCGCCTTTGCACAGTGGGAGTCTCACGGATGAGCCTGAAATCTGCAACAACTTGAATGCGAATGCGTTTGGGTACACCTATCATGTCCAAAACTTTCCAAAGCTCACCCCCGCCCAATCCATCTGTCAAGTAGTGCCCAAATGGCGCCCGCACCCCAGAAACTGCCAGGAAAAGGCAGCATGGCGAGCATTTCGGCAACCGCGTTATCCCGAGCTCCAGCAGATCCCTTCTTCATCGCCCCTCGAGCATCCAAGCAGTTGGCGAACTGCATGCTCGCCGCGCCAGGCCAGGCCGAGTCGGCCTGCGCGCTGGCCCGCGCCGCGCTGAGCTGGGACTTCAAACGGCACCGCTGCGCAGCTGCGGCGTCGTCCTCGCCCAGCGCCGATCCCCCCCCCCGAAGATCCGGAGCGCCTCCTTCCAACGGGCACGCTGCGCGCCCCCCCTGGGCATCGCCACCCTTGCGGGCAGATCCAGCCGATCAGGCAGACGAGCTTTTCGAAATTCACGATGCGACGAAACTTGAGCGAGACCCTGCGTGGCCCTCTCCCTCACGCGTAGGCGATGCAATTTGTTCTACCGTCGGCCCAGCGCCGGCTGCGCTGGCTGGCCTGTCCGAGCGGCCGCCCGAGTCGAATCCCAGCGGGGCCTTTTCCTCGAACGGCGCCTGCCTCCCCTGCCGCGCGCGGGGGCCCGTGGTAGAGCGAGGCGCGATGTGCGCTATGCTCGCCATTCCTTCCTCCATGCCCCTGATGCCCCCCCCCCCCCCCAGTCCTAGGAAATCCACGTCGCCGTTAACTGCTAAATGCAAACGCAAATCGCGGAATGCGCGGGCCGCCGCGTCGCCAGTGGGCCCCCGACCGGTCAAGGAGAAGGGTTTCTGGATGAAGGAGACGAGCTTGCATGGGCGAATTATGTCGACCAGCGCGATTTTGTGATCGGACTTCGAATGGCTGTTGTGAAGCACCTCGAAGCAGCCCCAGCTAAAAAAGAACACGCACATACGTAATCAATTTGGGACTGGTGCGTTGCGAATCCCCCAAGCGCACAATTGCTTATGTTTCGGGTTGACAAGTTTTTCTGCGATCAAGTCGTCGAACGCGTTGATGGCTAGCACTCCCCTGGCACAGAGATAGCTGACCACTCGCCGAGTCCGCTCAACAAGGCACCGGCCTGCCGCTGGGACCCGCTCCCCAGACAGGCCTGGCAATGCCGCCGGGAGCAAGAGGTTGAAGTCACTGCTTATGTGCCAATGCTTGACGGAATGGTTGCCCCTCTCCCACTCCTCGCACTTACTCTCCAACTCTGTCATCACCTCCTCCCATCTTTCCCGGCCCCCCCGCCGAGTGCCCGAAGGCAGATGCAACGATAAAAAGGCTGAACGATCGATCATAACCATGCTGGACAAGCTGTGGTGCTACTGCCGGAGTCGACTGTCATGCCTCTGCCGCGGTACACAAACAGCGCAATCAATGCCCACTCCTTTCATGCAAACTTGCTTCGAGAAGAATCCCTCCGACCACTCGGGAACCTCTTGGAGCAATAAGATCAAGGTTCTCCTCATCTTCCCCAAGATCCGTAAGATTCGTGTTTGGGCCTCCCGCGCCTTCTTCTTCAAGTTAACGCTAGCCAGTGCTAGCGCGCTGACCTTCTGAATTGAGCCTCCCTGGCGCCCCTACTTCTTCATCTGCATCTCTAGCGTCTGGCGGCCCCACTTGAGCATCTCTTTGCCCTTCTCGTGCCATATGGGGCCTGCCGAAGCAGACACCCCAGCCACAAGGATGTCATCGCCGTTGTAGTGCACCTTGATGGATAAAGTTCGCTGCCAGTCCGCCTTGACCTCCAAGCCCGCCTCCGAAGCCTCAGCCGCGATCGCGTCGCTGAGGCAGCCCATCGTACTGTACTTCGCGATCCTATCTGGACGATTCTCCAATCTAATTTTCGGGGAGACGCCCTTGATGCGACTCTCCCGCGTCGTCATCCCATCCGTCATCTGGCTGCGCAGCTCTGCCAATTCGCTCGGCACGAAGGAGACCTGGAATGTGTATGTCCCCTCGGTAACCTCCGCACGCGCCCCTCCGAGCGCCTGTCGCAAGTCGTCGTCCACAGCCGCCCTGATGTTCGTCAGCCATGCTTTGGCCTCCGTGATGGTGCATCCCTTGGTCGCCCGCTCCCCGAACTCCCACACCTTATGTCCAGGCGTGATGCCACCCAGGTTCCTCCACTCGATCTGCTCGATGGTTAACCCGCCGTGGTGCTGGCAGCCTCCTTCTGCTTGGCCTCCACCGCGCTCAGCCTCTTTCCTTGATCACGTATATGATCCTCCATGCTGGTGCACCAGTTGTTCGTCTTTTTCAGCTCCAGGTTGATCTTGGCCACCTCCTTCCCGATCGCCCGCGAGGACCGGATGGCAACGCTATGCTCTCCTCAGTGAGCTTCCCCACCTGCGCCTGCTCTTCCTCACGCTGCCTCTTCAGGCGGCCCTCATCGACCTCCATCTGGCGAAATAGAGTGCAGCAAAGGAAAACCGTATATTGAAATCACGGCGCAGCCCTCAAGGGCCTTTCTGGCACAGCGAACCTTAGCCAAAGTGGATACTTGAGCCAACATGGCTACGGGATTATATATATATATATATACATATGATACTTGTCTGAAGGCAGCCCCCCAAACCTCCTCCTCCTGCCCCCAAACCTCTTTGAGGCGCGCCTGTCGTCAGAAGAATAGCCAAGACAATATGGATTCTCCGTGGTTTCAAAAAGTGTCCTAACAAACGCTGTTGAACTTATCGGTTTCTAACTGTGCTTCCACGTCGTTTCCTGAACATGTCATCCTCAGGTAAGAAATTCTCACAAGGAGCCCTTTGGAACAACAGCCACAGAGGCAACCCGAGGCCCCCATGAAGGACCACACAACGTAGACGATGCTGATCGGGGGTCTCCTGACCCGGGTCAATCCAAACCCGGGTCAGTCAGGCATTGCAGGATCCTGCAAGATAATGCAAAATCCTGCAGGACCCTGCAGGATCCTGCGCGCTAGCCTGGGTCAGTGCAATCCTGGCCCTGCAAGATCCTGCAAGATCGGGCGATCTGACTGACCCCCGTTTGCGTTGTTCCCTGTCCTCTTCTGGTGCCCTCGTCGCCTCACCGCCGCATCATCGGCGGGGCCATTGGCTGCATCATGCCCGGGCTGGCCGTCGCCGCTGCCATGGCGGCCATGCCACCTCCCGTCAGGGGGGTAGGGGGGGGGGGCGCGGCCCGAACGGCCTCCCATGCGACGAGAATGCGCCCAGGTTGAAAAAACATACCGTCAAAAATTTTCGGGTCAAAACTTGGCTATCTGGAAGCCGCTCTGGATGATCTGGGCACTCCGGGAACGCTCTCGGCCAGGTGCAGCCACTGGAGAGGCCGAGAACACACAACAACGTTCGAAAACCTCTCGTCACCTTTCCCCCGCCGAACGTTCCCCATGAGCCAATTCCCCTTGACGCTGCCCCTGGGGTGTGCCCCACTGGCAGGGGCAGGAGCAATCAACATCGAATCGGAAAATCGAATCGGATCGGAACACGCGTTGGATCGGGCCTCCTCGGCACGGAGTCGGAATCGAATCGAACTGGCTGCGCCAGGATGCACAGCAGCGCCGCGCAAGCGTCGGGACGCAGAGAATCGACGGGAAGCAGGAATGGGAACGGATCGGGTTTGGCGATATCGGTATCGAATCGCATCGATCGGATCCCTGACATGACGTCATGATGCGACTGGCTCGAAACACGTTCCAGACGTTCTGGAGTCCGTGTGGAAGATTCGGGCCTCTGGGAAATCGGAGAAACCTTGACACGTATCATTCTCATGACCTGCTGCTCCTCTGATCCAAGGGCCTTCAGGGCGGCGGGCTCCCGCCCTGGAGCAGGCGGGCAGACGAGCGAGAGCGAGAGAGCCTGCCGGCTGTCGTCCCGGGGCGGGCCCAAGAAGGGTGGCAGATGCGCGCCAGACGTGCCGACCTGCAAGCGCAGCAAAACGCGCTGGCGCCAGATGCGCTGGCCTCCAGCAGGAGAGCATCTGGTGACGTGAGCATGAGCATCTGCAGCTCCCCCATGTCCCTGTCCGTGGGCCCTCCTCTTCGAACGTCCCAGCCAAAGAGAAATCGAGCAACGTCGTAATCGAATCGAAAGGAAGCCCCTTCCCTTTGATCCCTTCCCCGCGGGGGGGAAGTGTCCCAGGGGTTGTGACCCCCCTCCGTGGGGGAGCACCCCTCCATGGGAGAAGCTTTCGCCTTCGATTCCTTGCCTCCCAAGCGCGTCGGGCTTCCCTTTCAGGGTCGGCGGCACTGGTGTAAAAAAACATGGTGTCACTGCTCGGCGGCCGAACAGCGCCCAGCAAAGCTGGAGGACAGTGTGGGCTCATCCCCAGCCAGCCTGGGGCTTCTCAGCGCCCGCCTCGGCATGCCGTGCCAGCGCACGGCGCAGCCTCGAAGAGGTTCTAAAGAGGGCGCGCTCAAGCTCCCGCGCCTTGCCCTGCAAGGCGCTGCCAGTCGAGGGCACAAACCGAGCGGAGCGATGGTGGCATCTCGGGGCTGCGCTGGCGCGAGCCGTCGGTCCCGTGACGCTGTCGCCTCTCAGAAATTTCGAAGTTTCGAGGGGCGTCCTCTCGGCAACAACCGAGGCTTGGGGGCAGGATGGGGGGGGCGGGGGGTATCGTGAGGAGGGGGGGGAAGACAACTAGATCTCTCTCTCTCTCTGTATATATGAACATGTACATCTAGCTATGGTAGATGTAGATGTAGCTGTATGCATGCATGCATGCACGCATGCATATGTGTATGTAGGCATGTTTGTCTGCATGCATGTCTGTATGTGCGTCTGTATGTAGGTGTGTATGTATGTAGGCATGTAGGTGCGCATACATGCGTGTATGTGAACATGCATGTATGTATTGTGTGCATGTAAATGTGTACGCAGTTTGCTATGCATGATCAGGCATTGTTGTACGTCGGTGTGTATGCATTTCATACATGTGTGCATGTATGCATGTATGCATGTGTGTATGCGTATGTGAGAATATATGCGTGTGTCTGTATGTAGATATTATGAATGTATACGTGCAGGTATGCATACATGCGTGGATGCGTGTAGGCAATGATGTACGTATGTGTATATGCATGTACGTATACATGCACATCCGTGCGTGCATGTACGTAGATATGTGTGCATGTATGTATGCATGCATGTGCGCGTGCATGTACGCATTTACGCATATACGTCTGGGCACATGTATGCATGTATGCTGTTGTGCACATACCCACATATATATGCACACACATATGTATGTGTGCGTGTGCACTCATACATGCATGCATGTATGCATGTATGAACGTGTGCGTGTATGCATGTTTGTATGTATGCGTGAACGTATGAATGCATACATGCATGATGCATGTGTGCGTGCAGGTAGGTCTGTATATGTATATATATATACAGTTGTGTATACATGCATGTACGTATGTACGTATGCATGTATGCAGGTATGCATGTATGCATGTATACATGTATGCATGTATGCATGTATGAATGTATGCATGTCTGTATGTCTGTATGCCTGTATGTATGTATGTCTGTATGTCTGTCTGTCTGTCTGTCTGTCTGTCTGTCTGTCTGTCTGTCTGTCTGTCTGTCTGTATGTATGTATGTATGTATGTAGGTGTGTATGTCTGTATGTACGTGTGTATGTATGTCTGCATGTATGTATGTGTGTGTACGTATGTATGCATATATGCATGCATGCATGCATGTATGTATGTATGGATGTATGAATAGATTGAAGCAGCCCCAGGACACACAAATAAATAGACACAAATAAGAGGATTCACCATATTTTCCCATAGTTCCAGGGTTTCTGTCTTCCCCCCCCCACTTCCTATTTTTTCGCATATTTTCTGGGAGTCGACGACTAATTGTGTCTGTGTGTGTTTTTCCCCTCCTGATATATATGTGCATGTATGTATGTACGTATGTATGTAGGTATACAGACATATGCATTCACATACACTAGCCAACGCATGCTGATAAAGGCTGGGAAGCCGTCAGACCGCAATAAGGGGGAGGATAGAGGAGGAACCAGAGGACGAGGCGGAGGAGGTGGAGGAGGAGGTGGAGGAGGAGGAAACATACGAGGAGGACAAGGTGGGTGAGGGGAAGCAGCAGCAGCAGGAAGGAAGGGACGGGGCCGAGAACGGGAGGGACGAGGGAGCGGGCGGGGGGAAGGCTCGCGGCGGGTGGGGCCAGGAGCGCGCGGAGCGGCAGGAAGGGGACGGGGGAGGCTGACCGCGCTGCTGGCGCGAGGGAGGAACACGAGCGAGGGGGCACGATGATACCAAAGAGCTCTGAAGCTATGGTTGCGCAATGGTTTCTTCTGCCTGGCTCTAGAGCATGTCGGAGGCTTCTGGATTCGAGCCTCGTTGGCCAATTACGGCTGGCGCATCAAGCATGCATGCATGCGTGCATGCGCCTGCAGCAACTCGTGCGGCAATGCGCTGCATGGCGTGGCGACGAGCGGGAGGAAGACGTACGGGAGGCGGCGGCTGGAGGAGCTCCGACGGCGGCGGCGGCGCTGGGCCTTGCGGCGGTTGCTGCTGCTGCGCAGGCGGCTGCTGCGTCTGCGGCCGGTAGCCCAGCCGCTGCAGAAACTCCTGGGGCCGGCCGAGCGGGGCCTCCCGCCGTGTCTGGCAGCATCGATACGTAAACCAACCCCAGAATCTGCATTCCCCATCGGGTAAGCGTTCTCCCCCGTGGCCGACCTGCCTCCCCTGGGCAAGCATCGATGCCGTTCCCGTCGGGTTCTGTGACACCTACCCGCACCAAGAGGCGATAGGCTGGTGGCGACAAGGAACCGTGTCGCACTGGGGACGGGGAGGATCGAAGCTTGCGTATGCCTCCTGCCCTCCATGGTCCGCTGGGAGCCTCTGGTGACCTCTGGGTGCGCCTCTTGGGGAAGGGAGGAGGAGGAAGAGCACGAAGGAATGGAAAAGAGGAGGTCGTGGTGGCGGTGCGCGGAGTGGATTCCTGGGTTCTTCGCCTGCCCACGCGCGGGGAGTCTTAGCCCATCGGGATCGGCATCCCGCATCTGAGGGAAGGACCCCGGCGAGACCCCCACCAGGGCAACGTTTCCTACTGCTTGGGCGCATTTGCTCGACAGTGCTTGGCATCTTGCTTCACATTGCGTGGCATTGCGTGGCACGTGGCATTGCTTTGCATTGTTGGTATTGTGTGGCAGCAAGGAGCCAAGACAACGGAAGCAAGGAGCTACGGCCAAGGAATCAAGGAACAAGACCAAGAAACTGATGTAGCAAGAACCAGGAGCCTGAGGAAGGCACCCAGGAACCAAGACCAAGCAACTAGGGGACCAAGACCAAGGAACCAAGGAACCAATGCCCAGGAACCGAATAATCAAGGAACCAAAAGACCAAGGAACCCGAAAAACGCCACTGTAGGTAACCAGAACCAGAGAACCCTGGTCACCCGCTGGTCCGCCACCGTGCCCCCTGGCACGTTGAGGCGTGGACGAATGCCAAGGTCTGTCCGGTAGGGGTCTTGATTTTCTAATCAGGGAGGTCCCCCCCTGTACCCGCAGACTCTTGAGTGCAGCACCCCTTCTCACCGAGGCCACTGCCCTCGTGCCCGCTCGAAGGGAATGCACTTCCAGCATGGCAGCTAATGCCTACACCCTCATTCCACGCGTGCCCGATCGAGGAGAGTGCACTCTCAGCATGGCAGCTAATGCCTGAACCCTCATTCCACGCGTGTCCGCTCGAAGATGGTGTGCTTCCCGCATGGCAGCTAATGCCTGAACCCTCATTCCACGAGTGCCCGCTCCAGGACGGTGCACTTCCCGCATGGCAACTAATGCCTGAACCCCCATTTCATGCGTTCCCGCTGGAGGATTGTGCACGTCCTCCATGGCTCCTAACTCTTAGGCCCTTCGTCCCACGCGCAACCGCTCGAGGATAGTGCACTTCCCGCATTCCAAAGCGCTGCTCCCAAGCGCTCCAGGGCCTCCCAATCAACGATTGCCCATTGAAAACTATGGATCGTCGTCCCGAGCTTCAAAGACGGCCCGTGCAGGCAACCAATGACACTGAGATGGCGCAAGATGCCTCGACGAGGGCCCAAGATGGCTCCAAGGCGGCCGTATATTGATTCACGACGGCCCAAGATGCCCAAACTGACCACACGAGGACCTCCCACCAGTTCCGACGAAGCTAGCATCATTGATCTCCGGGTAATGTTTGAATCATTTTTGCAGTCTCGCCGTTCCGGGCTACCGTCAGCTCAAGACGGCCCAAGAGGACTCCAAGGTGGCCCACGAATCATCCAAGACGGACGCAAGATGACCCAAGAGGACCTGCCGTGGGATCCAAGACGGCCTTAGAAGGCCCTTCGACGGCCCAAGATGGCGCTGAGACGGCTCCACGACGGCCCCCAAACACTCACCATATGGCCAAGAGGGCCCTAAGACGGCCCAAGAGAGCCCCAAGCCGTCGTAAGAGGGCCCCAAGACGGCCGAAGAGGCCCCCTGGAACCCCGTAAGACTGCCTTAGAGGAGAGTGCCAAGACGGCCCAAACGAGATTCATCATCACCATCATCACCATCATCATCACCATCACCATCATCATCAACATCAGCATCATCACCATCATCATCATCATCATCATCATCATCATCATCACCACATCATCAACAGCATCAACATCATCATCATCATCATCATCATCATCATCAGCATCAACATCAGCATCATCATCATCATCATCATTATCATTTTCATCACCATCACCATCATCGTAATCACCATCACCATCACCATCACCATCACACACATCATAATACTCATCAACATCGGCATCAACATCACCATCACCAATACACATCACCATCACAAACATAATCGACGGCATCGTTATCGCCATCGTTACCGTTACCACCAGCATCAGCAACAGCATCATCAGCATCATCGTCATTGTCATCGTCGTCATCTGCATCGTCATCATCGTCATCAGCATCACCATCAATCAGCAACAGCATCATCATTTTCAGCATCATCACCATCAAGATCAAGATCACGATCATGCTCAGCATCACGATCATCATCATCGCCATCACCATCACCACTATCATCATCAGGTCCAGCATCATATCATCATCACCACAACCATCACCATCACCATCTTCATCATCATCCGCATCATCACCATCAGCATCGTCATCATCACCATCATCAGCATCGTCATCTTCGTCATCATCATGATCATCATCAGCATCAACATCATCATCAGCCCCACCATCATCAGAATCACCGCCATCACCATCAACATCATCGTCATCCTCATCCTCATCCTCTTCTCTTCCTCCTCCTCATCATAATTCTCATCACTATCATCGCCATCACTACCACCACCATCATCTTCATCCTCATCCTCATCCTCATAACAATCACCATCACCACCATCACCACCATCACCACAATCACCATCACCACAATCACCATCACCATCACCATCACCATCACAATCTCCATCACCATCACCATCACCATCACCATCACCATCACCATCACCATCACCATCATCATCATCATCATCATCATCGCGATCGTCGTCGTCACCCCCATCATCCTCATAATCCTCATCATCCTCGTCACGGGTCCCCCAAGCCTTGAAACACTAGTTGTCACACGTGTCGACCTCCTTTGTCCCCTCGAACAATCGCCACCCAGAAAACTGGGCTGGCACGGTGGCGGGTCTTGCCGCAAGCAGCTGCATAAAAAAAACAACACCGAAGAACTTCTCGCCAAAGAACCCTGGGAAACCTTGCGACGACCGCGTCCAACACCCACCGGGTTTTCCCACGGACCAGAAAGAACCCGTAGGGCAAAGCCTACTTGGGGCAACAACTCCTGGTCGCCAGGCGTGGGCACGTGAAGCTGGTCGTCAATGAAAAGCCACGGTGCCGAGAGCTCAGGTTGAGATGGAGGATGGTGACAAGAAGAGGAAGGAGGCGATGGCGGAGGAGGTGGGGTCGGTAGCCATTCTGGCTCAGGAGCCACCGTCCCTCGAATCTGGTCGGCTGGGTACATTTGCCCCTGGTGTGTGTGCAAGCGTAGAATCATGGGCTGGAGGAGGAGGATCAGGAGGAGGATTCGATTCGAGCTCATGGAATCCAAGACTGAAGGAGGAGGAGGAGGAAGAGGAGAGAAGAGGATAAGGAGGATGGTGAGAATGATGCTGAGGAGCAAGAAGAGGGGGAGGTGGCACGCAAGCGCGCAAAAAAAACACCTAGACGGCGCATCGGCAGAACTGATGGCAGTATGGAAAAGGATGATGATAATTGGGACGAGGTGGGCGATGGGAAGCGTGACGAGGTGCAACACGAGGGAGAATCCTAGCTACTCGGGTTCAACATGCCGACGTTGCATGCACATGCCGCATGGTGCCTGGAAGCCATTATACGTTACCGCGACACAAGCATGAAAGCCGTGTCAGACCACCTCTTCGGATGTCTTGCTGTTGTTCCTGCTGCCACATCATTTGGCAATCGGACAACCCTGCCATTTTGGGTACCTGCCCGGTCGCGGAGCGTCCGCAAATGTGCCGTGCTCACGCACAGCCACATTACCCCCCGCAAGTCATTGCCACGGTATTGTTCTGTCCGCGGAATCGCGCTAGCGTTCCGAACTCGAACTGGGCCCCGCAGGGCCTACATCCACGATTGTAGTTTCACCTCAGGGCGCTAGAGCCAGAACGGTTGCGGATGCGTCGAACGATCGAACATAAACTGGCGTGAAAGCCGGGTCAAATTCCCGAGTCGCTTTCCTAGAAACGTACTCGTAACATGCGGCCTACGGATTACGGGGGAATCTTTCTCTGCTGCACCCCTCCTTGGGCACTGGGCTTCGTATGGGGCTCGTCTTACTGAACAGAAGCCGTCCTGATAAACTCTAGCACACATAAATATGTTACCAGTGCCCGCGGGCCTATCTAGCTCATTCTCTGAGGGCCAGCGCCTCAGCGCTGGTCTTCATCTACTCGCGCCCTCGAGCTACTGGCGAGGGGGCCCTTTCCAAACAGACGACGCGCGCTCCAGCGCGGCGCGTCGAGCGCATGTAGAGCGGTGCTGCTGCGCTACAAGCAAGGCTCACCTGCGGCCTGCTCCGTTCAGCAGGTCCTCGATCATCTGCGACTTGAACTGTCCTCGATGCAGGCCCAAGCGCAGGCACTCCTCGCGCAGCTCCGTCGCACTCCACGTCCAGTAGTGTTTGATCGGAGTCGTCTGCGTGTCTGCTGATGCCGCTCTCCACGGTCGCCATATGCTCCTCTCCAGGTGGGGCCTCCACCTGAGCGATCTGGTCGTCGTCATCTCTCACCAGCTTCCAGATGCCCTTCAGGAACCGCATTGGAGCCCTGCGCACGCGGTAGCCAACCCACGCGGGCAGGAACGCGATCCAGCGTCAATCCGAACATCACCGTGATGGCCGTCGCGCAGACCTGCTCCATCGCGGTCGGGCTGCTCACCTCCATAACCGCCTGATTCGCTGGGACCATCTCCATTCCTTGAACTCTGCCAATTATTCTTGCCGCCAACATCGCTCCGAATACCTGCGCGCGCCCTGAGGGCGGCGTCCGACGTGGAATCATCGCCAGCAGCTTCAGGAATATCGGTCCCTCGAGCGGCTTGGTATGCATGTCGGCCCTGTTCGTGTCCGTGTGAATCTTCGCCATCGAGACTGTCTTGTCCCCTGACTCTCTCTTGCACCCAAAGGTGCTTCGTCTCCAGGTGGCGCGCCTTTCCGCTTCCCAAGCGCGATGCGATACCCTTGGCCTCAGAGCTGCCCGTGTCCACCTGCAGGGTCATCTCGACCCCCATCTCCAGCATCGCATTCCTCAACCAAGTGCCTCTCGTCGAGCCGTTCACAATCCCGGTGAACTCTGTCTGCTTCCGCGCTGCTCAGCGCGTGATTGCCCTGTCGGCCGCTCCTGCCATCGATCGCGTGCGAGCCGGTGAACAGGAATCCCCCGTCCACGGGCCTCCGACCAGGCTCGGACGCCCAGTCGCTGTCGACTTCCGCCACGATCACCGCGGGCATCCTCTGGACCTCGATGAAGAGCTCGAACTGCGGGTGCTGCTCCAGGTAGCTCGCCAGCCGCTGTAGTAATAGCCAGTGGTGCCAGGTGGGCGCAGCCATGCCCCTCAGGATGTCGAATCGGTCGTGAGCCGCGTACAGGGTGGTCGCGTACTCCGTGCTGAGCTCGTCCGATGACTCCCTGCAATCCTTCCCAATCGTCTTGGAGGAACGAGTGATCGCCCGCTTCGTGCAGCTGCTCTCACCGGCCTTCCTGTTGAGCATGGTGCTGACCAGAATCTCCACGTGCTTGCGCTCGTGCTGGATGCCGAACCCTTCGGAGCACAACGTCACCGCCCGCTTGAGGAAGCTCCCTGACTCGAGTCCTCCTTGTCTAGGGCTGCCTAGCCTCGCCACCACATTGACCTTGAGGCGTCCCCTCACCAACTCGTCGAGCCAGTCCAGAGATTCCCTCCTTCCTCCAGCCAGGAAGTGATCCCCATGCACGATCGCCATCAGCAGCCTCTCCTTGTGGTCGTAGACCTGCACCGTCACCTTGATGCGCGTGAACCCACCCTTCTCCATTACCTACCTCCATGATCAGGTTCTGGAGCAAGAAGGATGCGCGTCTCGTGCCATAGAGAGCGTGATTCAGCTGGTAGACGATGCCTTCTGGTTCCTCTCCGCGAGATGGAACCACGAGGATGTCCTCGTCAAATGTACACGTGAAAGAAAGCCACCGACACGTCGTGGAGCGCGATCATTCCGTCGTAGCCGATCCCCATGGAGTAGCGGCTTGAGGCGAAGGAGACCACCAGCCTGAATGCTGCCAGTGGTGGAGTGCCTGCGAACGTGCCGTCGCGCACGTCCCAGGCGAACTGCATGTCCACGAAACGCGATCTGACCGACTCCCTGCAGTCCTCGTCGAAGCGCTCGTCGTCGACCCAGTTCCCTCGGACGCGCTTGCCCTTCGCTAGATTCTTGGGCGCCCTATCGAAAACCTGAAACTCCTCCATCTGCCTGTGCTCCTTCTCCCTGCCTCGCTTCGCCCAGGCGGGGCCCAGCCTCTGGTAACTTGCCTCGCGGTCGTAGAGGCCTTGCTTGTTGATGTCCGTCGCGTTGTCGCGGGGGATGGCGTCGCGTGTCAGCGCGAGAACTGCTGTCGCCATGTTCGCGAACAGACCTGCGATAACCTGCTGCTTCGGCCCCCGCTTCGCTTCCGCCAAGGTGCCGTTGACGCCCATCTCGATCATGCCGGGCTCCCTGCCGTCCTGCTGCGGGAGCCCCGCGGCATTCTTGCGTGGGATCCGAAGGTGCGTCCGCCTCCAGCCGCCGTCTGCGGAGTCGTCCTCCTTGGGCGGCCCCTGTAGCAAGTTGTGGGTCCTGTGCGACGGCTGGGGGGCGTCGGCTCAGGTGGTGCGTCGCCAGGCCCTGGTTGAGCATGTTGCCCTCCTCATGGGGGTGCGGCGGCAGCTGCGGATGCGGCCGCTCGAACTGCTGCCTTTTGTTTCTCCTTCTCCAACTCGGCCTCCATCCAGCCCTCGATGCGCTCTCGGCAGGCTTCAATGCGTGGGTGGCCGAGTCCGTGGCAGCCGTCGCAGCCAGGTGTAGGTCCCACTCGATCAATGATCGCCCTCGTGATGTAGCGACCGCGCGGTTGAGGCGGTGCTGCCTCTGGTCCCGCGCGAGTGCCCCATGGCGTGCACTCGACCTTGTTGAACAAGCTCTTGGACCAACGCTGGTCCTCCACGCGCCCACTGATGGTCCTCGCCGTCTTCCTGCCAGCAGCGGTCGCCCAGAGGTGCTCGTCCGTGCGGCTGCCCTTCCCGACCCAGATGGCTTTGCCCCATCGGATCTCAGCCTTGTGGTGGGATATGTTCTGGATCTTGCGCGCCACCGTCTCGCCGAACTCGCAGACAGCTCCTCCGCAGGCGCGACCCTTCAAGTGCTGGTAGGAGGTGAGGCCATCCTCCTTGACCGGGTGCCGGGGCAGGATCCAGCCCGAGCGTCGAAGCATCCAGCCCATGATCCAGTGGTTCAGCGTGAGCTTGGTGCTGTACCGAGACCCGACCGACGCCCTCAATGCGCGGAACATGCCCTCGGCCATCTTGTTGGCGTTCTCGATAGCTCCCTTGCTCTTGGGGTCTCGCGTGGGCCCACTGTGGGGAACGGTTTCCTCGTCTCGAGCCAGCTGGGCGGCTCGGACTAGCGCCTGGATGGCGGGCTCACCATCGGCGCCGAGAACAACGCGGTCGAGGCCCCACATGCGCATCGCCGCTGTCGTCACTGCCGCGGCGTAGTCTGTAGGCCCCTTAGTTGTCATCTGCGCGCTCTCGATCGCCGCCGGCTGGTGCTCCAGAATGTTTAGCACTGCGAGCGGGTCGCCCTCGACGTCCCCCAAGAACAAGTCGTCGATGCAGGCAAGCGGGATCGAGCGGCCGGGGTCAGCCAAGCGCTTGTGCGGGTCTTCCTGGTCGCGGCCCATGATGCAGAATTGGCGCCAAGTGCGGAAGGGCCAGTGAGTGAGCCGATGCTGATCGCGGATTGCTCGGTCTGGCATCGCTGGGATCCCTCTCGCCCTGGCCGCTGCTGCCTCTCCAGACTCCCGCTCCATCCTCGAGTTGCCGTCGCACTCCTTCACGCTGAGCTCCCTCTTGGTCAGGTTGATCCTGGGCGTCCCCGGCAGCGGGTGGTGCCGGTGGAGGTGGCATCGGCTCTGGTGCTGCAGGTGCCTCGTGGTGCACGGCTCGTGCCTCAATGTTCGGCTGGGTTGGGTTGGCGAGGATAGGCTCGGTGACGGTCCGGGCAGGCCTCGTGATTATGAGCCAGAACGTCTGCCCGCTCCTGTGCAGCCTGATCTCGCGGCCGTCCGTCAGCAGGATGTAAGGCCCCTGGCCGAGGATCGGAATGTGGCCGCCCCCGGTAAAAGGTGTCCGCGCTCGCGACGGCGCGTTTCACGTTCGTCACCTGGAACTCGATCTGCAGGGGTACCCCTTCGCTCTCGGCCGCGACGATCGTCGTGCCCATGGACATGACCTCGTCGCCCGTCGCCGACTCGCAAAAGAATGGTGTCTTGGGCGGCAACATCTCGGTCGTGTCCGCGAACTTCTGGGGGCAGGGTGCGCCCTGAGCCAGTGTCGAAGAGCGCCCAGTCGAACTCCGCCGCGTCGCCGACCGTCACTGGCAGCGCGTCGCACTGCGTCCTGTCGTAGAACATGCCCGCCTGCCAGTGGTACTTCTCGGGCGTTGGGATGTCGGCACGGTCGGCCACGTTGGTGTTCGCGATGTGGACGGGTGAGCTCATAGAAGCCAGGCCACGATGCTGCTGCTGCAGCTGCATTGCGCCAGCGCCGCCGCCGCGTGCGAGACATCCACGGCGGGGGCCAGACTAGCCTGCGAACCAGTGCCGTTATCCTGCAGCGCAGAAGCCGTAGTCTCCGCCGAAGACTGTCCTCTGGGGTCCTCCGTCAGCGCGGCAACCTTCCTGGCCCTCTTCTCGTCGGCCTTCTTCTCGCGGCAATCCGCCGCGAGATGGCGTGCCTTCCCACAGTAGTGGCAGTTGCGGGTCTCTCGGCCCTTGTCCTTCGAGTCGCCTTTCTTGCCCTTGGAGTCGCCCTTGGACTTGTCTTTGCTGTCCTTGCCCTTACCTTTGCCATTGTGGTCCACTTTGCCCTTGCCAGTCGCGTTCGCCTGCACGGGGGCCGCTCCGTTGCCGCCGGCGCCTGTCTCTGCCCATCGTCGCTGCGCTGAGCAGATCGTCTTCAGATCCTGCTTCAGCTCCTCGTGAGTTTCTAAGCGCGACGCATTCAGGCTGAGGAGGTCTGCCAGCTTCTCGTTCTTGGTGCCCGACATGATCACCCCGCGCTTCATGTTGTCTGAAATCACGTCGCCGCTCTGGTCGGTGCACACCCGCGCCAGCTGCTCAAACTCCGCCGCGTTCGTCATCGCGGGGCCGGCGAATTCGCACCGGCTGATGCGACCCAGCATTGCCGCGAAGCGGTTCGCCTCCTTTGGCGCGAACTCCCTGAGCAGCTGCCACCATGCCGAGAGCCCGTCGCCTCGCGGAGCCTTTCTGACCTCGGCCTTGGCCACATCTGAGGTCACCGAGACCAGAATGTAGTACAGCTGAGTGTTCTGCGTGGCGTCCAGCTCAGTCTGCGCCGTCAGTACGTCGGCTGTCCTCGATGCTTGGTTGACTAGATCCCCCAATCGGGGGTGGGCCGCAAACGCGTAGGCCTCGAAGTCGAACGACCACGTCGTCCACTCTGAGTGCAGGCCCGTGAACGTACGCGGTTTGTTCAGCAGCCCAGTGTCGACCATCTGGCCTCCGCCGAGGCCTGTTGCTGCTGATGCTGCTGCTGCGCCAAGGCCGCGCTCTCCTGCTCGCTGCTCGCCCATGGCCAGCCGCTGTTCAGCTGCGTCCAGCCTGAGCCTCAGGTTCTCGTTCTCTACGAGCACCTTGCGGCGTCGCGTCACCTCGCACCCCGTGAGCCGCGCGCGCGCTCTGCGAGGGCCTCCATCGCCGCGGCTCCCGCCGCGGCCGCGTGACCGAAGATCAGCAGACAAGGGATGGTGATCCGTCCTCGGCCACGCTCCGCTACCATCCGCGGAATCGCGCTAGCGTTCCGAGATCGAACAGGGTCCCGCAAGGCCTACATCCTCGATGGTCTTTTCACCTCAGGTCGCTAGAGCCATCACGGTTGCGGATGCATCAACCGATCAAACATAAACCCGTGTGAAGCCCGATACAACCTCCCGAATCGCTTTCCTAGAAACGTACTCGTAACATACGGCATACGGATTAGGGGGGTGTTTCTGTGCTGCAGTCCGCCACGAAGCTAACGTTCACGGCGCGCTATCTTGCTCCAGGCTGTTGGGACAGCCAAGCGTGTTTCTGCCCAGCTTGTCCAGCGCGAGCTTCCATATAGCGCTGCCGAAGTCTCACAGCATTGGACTCGCCAAGAGTTGCTGGTTCATCGGCGACTCGAAAGTTTTACCCCCCTTCGAGCTTCCACCACGACAGCGCAGCGCGAAGGATCCAAAGGTGTGCGCACGAAGCAACGCAACACGAATCCGCCGACCCTGTCGCCGTGTGGACGAGGCTGTTCCGTCGTCGTCGTCGTCGTCGTCGTGGTCGTTGTCGTCGTCGTCGTCGTCATCGCCTTCGCCGCTCGCTTCCCCCCTGTTCCCTAGGCATGTCGCCGTTCCCCCCACTTTCACCGGGTTTTCCTCCTCGAGCGCGCCAGCCACAGCGAAATTGAGCAGTGTTGTAATTAGGTCGAAAGGGAAGCCCCTTCCCTTTGATCCCTTCCCCGCCGGGGGGGAGGGGGTCCCAGGGGCGAGGTCCCGGGGGGGGGTCACGGGGGGGTTTCCCTGGGGGGTCCCAGGGGGGGGGTCCCGGGGGAGGGGTCCCCGGGGGGTCCCGGGGCAGATGCGACTCCCCCTCGGGCGGTTGGGCGGCCAAGAAAAGCCGCAGGATGCTGCAAAACTGCTCCAATATGCCCCCAAAACGGTCTTCGAAGGCACCGAATCGCCGAAGTATCGGTCCAAGTCGCCAAGAAGCACCCAGACGGCTCAGCATTTTTCCAAAACGCCCCAAGAGGCCTCCAAGAGGACTTCCAAGAGGGTCCCAAGGGGCAAAAGTCATCGATGTCTCATAATTTGTTGAAAGACTTCGGCATTCTCGCCTTGTCAGCTTCCCGACGCTCCAAGACAGGCCAAGAAGCCCCCAAGACAGCCCCAAGATGGCCCACGAGGCCTCCATCAAGCCCCAAAACGACCAAAGAGGGCCCCAAGACCGACCAAGAGGCCTCCAAGACAGCCGAAGAGGTCCCCAAGAGGAGCCCAGACGGGGGACCCGAACGGACATTTCGAGCCCTCGGCCTGAGAAACTCTCAGGAGGCCCCCAGAGGCCCCTGGAAGCCCCCCAAGGAGTCCCAGGAAGCCACCAAGAGACCCCCAGGAAACCCCAAGAGGCCACCACGAGGCTTCCAAGCGAGAGCTTCCCAAAAGACCCCCAAACTACCCCCAAGAGGCCCCCGAGAGCGCTCGTCGTCGTCGTCGCCATTCAAGGTCGGCGGCACCGGCCATAAGGCCTTCGCAATACAACCGCAATTTCGACCCCGAGTCTGACAACTAACTATCGGCTTATGAAACCCTGGGGATACTTGAAATTTCAGTCTCGGGCCGACGAGATTTCTATTGTTTTCAAAACGTATTCGGCGGAATCGCAATTTCGACCTCGAACCGAGAAGCTCCGAACCCGGTCGAATTTTTCCGAGGACGTCTGTAAAGGACTCGTCGTTTCGACTTGGGCAACCCGTGGCACTGAGCCGACAAGTCGATCGTGTGCTTTCGACCTGGGCAACAAAAAGAGCAATTTGGACATGCTGTCGAAACCAGTCGCGTTCAAGACAAAGTAGCGAATCCGCGCAAGACTTCATAAACACAGCGACTTCGGCCGACATCGAAATTCAACGGTTCGAGGTCGGGGCGACGATTTCGCTGGGGACCCCTGCAAACAACGAATTGTGCCGAATCGGAACATTTTCGGGCTGGTCGCAAAATTGTGTGAAGTGTGAAGACGCATGTGCATCCCAACCGAAACACCGAGACGCACCCTGGCAACATTGCACCCTGGCCCCACGGCTTAATGGGAATCGCAGCGTTTTGGCATACTGGCTATCGTTTTGGAGATGCTGCGGGGTACGGATGATGATGCTGCTGATGATGATGATGATGATGATGATGATGATGATGATGATGGTGATGATGCTGATGATGACGATGATGATGATGCTGATGATGCTGCTGATGATGATGCGAGGACGAGGTGGAGTAGGAGGAGGGGCAGAAGCATGAAGATGAAGGCCTCGTACTTCTACCATTACTCTACCCGTCGGCATCGTCACTCTGATTAGAATCATCGTGATCACCATCCCGATCCCTCCGATCCTCGGTCTCCCCCTCCTCCTCCTCATCCTACTGCCTGCACTATTCCAGCTCCTTCTCATGCCCCTCTGGCTCCTCCACCTACTGCCCCATCCTTATCATTGCCCTTATCCTCTCATCATCCTCTCATCATCCTCATACCGCTCCTCATCACCGCACCCCCCCTCCTTCTACCACTTGTGATCCTCCTCCTCGTCCTCGGTCTCCTCGCCGCTCATCTTAATTTTATTCCCCGCCTTCTCCTTCTCGTCTTCAACCCCGCCTCCTGCGAGCCCTCAGACATCGATAAAACACCCTGGACCACAATACAGCACCACTCCCAAGTCCTCCTTCCCTTCCAGCAGACACAAACTCCCCCCCCCTCCCTGCCCATTCTTCTACGACCTCTTCTCTTCGCCCCCCTCCTCCTCCTCAGCCTTTTCCTCCTCCTTCTCCTCCTCCAATCCCTGGTCATCCTTCTACCCCGTGGTAACCCTTGTAACACCACGGAACCGCTAAGAGCGAACTCAAGCACACCTGACCTGAACGCTCCATCCTCCTCCGCCTCCCTCCTCCGTCCCTCCTCCTCCGCCCCTGCTCCTCCTCCTCCTCCTCCTCAATTTCCTCCTCTTCATCCTCTTCCTCCTCCTCCTTCCTTCTCCTTCTGCTCCTCCTTCTGTCCCGTCCCCCCCCGAAATGGACCATCGGTCGGCGGGGGGCTCCGTGTAGGTGCTCTGCAGGCCGGCGGTCCTGTCCTCGATGAGCGACTCGAAAAACCTCCTCTCCTGGCCAGGCGGGGGGGGAACCGGGAGGGGGGAGGAGGAGGAGGAGGAGGCAGGGGAGAGGAGGGAAGAGGAGGAGGGAGGAGGGAGGAGGGAGGAGGAGGAGGAGGAGGAGAAGGAGGGAAGAGGAGGAGGAGGAGGAGGAGGATGAGGAGAAGAGGAGGAGGAGGAGGAGGAGAAGGAGGAGGAGGAGGAGGAGCAGAAGGGGAAGGAGGGGGGGGGGAGGCGGAGGAGGAGTAGGAAGCGGAGGAGGAGGAGAAGGAGGAGGAGGAGGAGGAGGAGGAGGAGTACGAGGAGGAGGAGGTGTATGAGGTGGAGGTGGAGGAGGGGAGAGAGGAACGGGAGGAGGCTGATGATGATGATGATGATGATGATGATGATGGTGATGATGATGATGATGATGATGAGGAGGAGGAGGAGGAGGAGGAAGAGGAGCAGGAAGAGAAGCGACTCGAACAGGTTTCTCTCTTGGCGATGGGGGGTGGGAGAAGGGAGGGGCAAGTGCTGAAACACGAGCGTCGAGGTTGTCCGTTTCCAAAGTTATTTTGGGGCTTCCAGGGGTTCTCGTTGCCATGGCTGGGGCCGCTCGAAAAAGTGACGATGATTCCAGGGGCTGTTCCGAGGATCGACTCAGAACGGGCTTGTGAGCGCTTGGGGATCGAGACCCGAAGGTGGAAAATTCGTTGTGCTTTTGGCCTTGTCTGGGGCCTCTGGGCAGGCTGGATCACTCGTCGAAGCTCTGATCAGAACGCACCCGTGGAGAGGTCCGAGGGGGAGAACTTCACGGGAAGGAAGTGGGGGAGGACGGGGAGGGGGAGCAGGGGAATGATGGGGAGACCGGGGGCAGGGATGAGGACGAGGGGAGGATGATTCATCTAGGACGAATGCGGGAAACAAGTGGAGGAAAATGATGGGAGGCGGACGAGTCGTAAGATGGTGAGAGGGGATTATACAGAGGAGGCAAGCGTATTTCAGGAGGACGGGACATAGAGGGCAGGGGGGATCAGTTGTGGGACAATGTGTGGGAACCAACATCTCGTTGCGGTATTGCACATAGATGTGTACACGGCACGCAACTGACTCGGCTCAGGGAGCTGGGAACGACGCAACCATGACCGGGACACCATGGGAACGGGATAAATCGGGGATGTCTGGGATGCGGCGGTTCTGGCGTGTATCGGGGGTGGATGGAGCCCCCTCTAGCAAAACGCCCTTTAGTGACAGTTGCCAAGTGCACTCCGCGTGCGCACGGCAACGCATTCCGAGTGCACGCCAGCGGGGAAGCTACTTGACGTCCAACACAAACGAATGTATCCGGCGAGCCGCACCTCGATCCGCGAAACCGACCAGGGAGTGCACTGGCACACTCGAATGCTGATTTCCTCAGTCGACTTGCCTGGGTGGGCGTTCTGCCGATGGCCGAATGTATGGACGCCTTGGCCGCTCCAGAGCGCTGAGGAACGCTCTGGGAGCGAATTCTCCCGGTCCTAAGGCCCGCCCGAACTCTGCCCCCTGGCCAGGATTGGCCGACAGGTAGATCCGTGGTGCGTTTGGGCCTTCGGCCGAGGGCCTGGCCCTCGGGGGCCAAGCGCGCCGCCCGCGGCTTTTGGAGTGCGCTTCGTGCCTTCAGCCTCCTCATGCTCTTCCCACTGGAAGCGCATCGTCCTTGTCCCTCTTCTCTGCTCCCTCCCCCCCTCCCTCCCTCTTCTCCTCCTAGGTCCCTCTCCCCTCTCCTCGGCTCGTCCTCCGAACTCCCCCCCCCGACGTTCTTTTGTTGTTATTTTGTTGTTTTGTTGTCTCTCTCTCTCTCTCTCTCTCTCTCCCTCTCCCCCCAGAAAAACTCCAACGTAAAACCAGCCCCCCCAAGCTCCTCTCTCATGCAACTCCCACAGCGTCTAATGGGACGTGATTGGGTGTGAGGAGCAGGATGCCAGATATCGACTCCCCCCTACCTCCTCTCCCCCGCCTCCCCCTCCTTCCCTCCCCTCCTTGGGCTCGCCCTGCTTGATGACGTGCAGCTGCATCCAGGGCACCATGCGCTCGCTTCGGATCTGCCCGAGGATGTTCTTGACCTTCAGGGACAGGGTATCGGTCCGCTGTTCCAGGTGCTCCTCCGGCAGGCAGCGGAGGGAGGGAAGGGGGAACATCCAAGAATCGACCCAAACGGAATCTTTCGTAATCGTCTTGTCTTCGTTTTCTCTCGTTCTGTCTTCGTTCCGCCTCTGCTGCACAGGATAATCAAAACGACACCGGTCCACGACATCGCCCGCCCAAACACCGATTAGGTCGGGCTCCAGGAACTCGACGAGCTCAAGAGGAAGAGGGGCAAAGGGGAGACACAAACGCATGAGGGGGGGGAAGACCGAATTATTGGATCTGCTCGGGTCGGATCGTCCCGAATCGGAGGGATCTGATGATCAAGCCCGGTCAGAGGAAGTGCTATACGCTCCTCGATGCTGCCGGCCGCGTCGGAGTTTAGCTCTTCGAAGCCGATGCCGAAGAGGCCCTGCACAAAGGCTGGGTCCACACCTCTGCCCATCCACATCATCATCATCTCGCCGTCCTCGGGAAGAAAGGGAGGAGGATGGGGGAGGAGGTGCAGGAGCAGGGGGAGGACGACGGGGAGGGGGTTGGAGGAATCAGGAGGTCGACCAGGGGGGGGAAGAGGAGGAGGAGGAGGAGGAGGAGGAGGAGGAGGAGGAGGAGGACCGCTGTCCTCCAGCACAAAGACTCCGTCCTGAGTCATGCTCTCGCTGGTCAGGTTCAGCATGTCAGGGAGCGTGCAGTGGCCATGCTCGTCGGCCGTGGCGCAGGTGTCGGGCGCGTTGTGAAGCGCCAGCAGCCGCGGGTAGTAGTACGCCGCCACCTGGGCGACGCACGCCGTCTCTAGCCGCATCCAGATGTAGGTGCGCCTGTCGACATGTCTTATTTCGCGTATCGCTGCGTCCGAACGCACGAACGGAGTCGTGGAGGCATTGCGGAGCAGCCGGGCAAAGTCGCGGCCGAAAAGCGGGGCCCCTCTGAGCAGTTGCTGCCAAGCCGCCCAGGGATTGCAGAACGGTTCGCCTCCATCCTTTTCCTCCTTGCCTCTCCTCAGGCTGTTCGCTTGCATCTCTCGTGGACGCTTCGCAACCATCACCACCCTCCTCCCTCCCCCTCCTCCTCCGCCTCCTCCTCCTCCTCCTTCTCCTCCTCTTCCCCCTCCTCCCCCTCCTCCTCCCCCTCCGCCTCCTCCCCCTCCTACTCCTCCTCCTCCTCCTCCTCCTCTTTCCCCCCTCCCCCTCTCCTCCCTCCTCCTCCTCCTCCTCCTCCTCCTCCTCCTCCTCCTCCTCCTCCTCCTTCCTCCGCCTCCGCCTCCTCCTGCTTCTCCTCGCCCCCTCCTCCTCCTCCCCCTCCTCCTCCTCCTCCGCCTCCTCCGCCTCCTCCTCCTCCTCCTCCTCCTCCTCCTCCTCCTCCCCTCCTCCTCCCCCTCCTCCTCCCCCGTCTCCCCCTCCCACTCCGCTCCCTCCCGCCCGCTCCGCCATCCTCCGGCCTCCATCTGCTCCCCCTCCCCCCCGAATGGGATCGCTGGCCAGCAGCGCAAATACCGAAACGAACCAGCTGCAGGGGCGGGCTGCTCGCCTGTCGAACAGGATGTCGTTCGTCGGCTTGAACGCCTCCGACTTGAGCATGCCCATGACGTACAGCGGCAGAAACTGGAGCGCCTCCGAGCTCGGGCACATGCCGCCCGCCTTGTTCTTTTTCTCTGCGGGGACGAGGGCATCGCTCGAGGAGGCGGATGTTAATGATGCTAATGCTAATGAACCTGAGGATGCTAACGATGATGCTGCTGCTGCTGATGATAATGATGATGATGATGCTGCTGCTGCCGCTGATAATGATGATGGTGCTGCTGATAATGATAGAGATTCTGAAGAGGATGCGAACAGTCACACCGATGATGATGCTGATGACGATGACGATGACGATGATGACGACGACGATGATGATGATGCTGCTGCTGATGATGGCGTTGATAAGGATGTTGATGCCGATGATGATGTTGATGCAGATGATACTGATGCTGATGATGATGATGATATGATGATGATGATGATGATGATGATGATGATGAGGATGAGGATGAGGATGATAATGAGGATGATGATGATGATGATGATGATGATGATGATGATGATGATGATGATGATGATGATGTGTATGCTTATGCCGATGCTGCTGCTGATGATCATGATGTCGATGAGGCTGGTGATGGTGATGATGAGGTGATGATGATGATTATGAGGAGGAGGAGGATGAGGAGGAGGAGGAGGAGGTCCAACATCCGCCGATGATGGGGATCAAAGTAGGGGAGTCCAACGTTCATCAAGAAAGGGGATCATTATAACAAATTCAGCACGGGGGAAACGGGTCCTGAGGGAAGCGGGTCCTGGACCCCAGGGCCTTCCCCCAGGACGAGATCTTCACCCTGCATCGTTTTCTGACGGTCCCAGCAGCCGCTGAGGGCCACGAGAGCCAGAAAACGGCGAGCAACCTCAAGACACGTTTCCCTCAGGACCCGTTTCCCCCACCGTGATCAGGGCAGGGGGGGGGTCCTCCTCCAGCCGTTCGGCTGCTCGTCTCGTCCCTCCGTGCTTGGGCAGGTAACCGACCGTCCCGGCAATCTCCTATAGGCCCACCGAGAAATATTCTCAGAACAAGAGAGCGTTCTAAGAACAAAGGCCTTTTTTTGAACTTGGAACAGAAAGCCGATGTGCTAAACATTCAGTCTCAGCCATACATGTTCAAAGAACATTTCGTGCACGCCACAAACAGCGAGCAGAACATCCTTTGGTGGGTCTACAGACAAGCCAGGACGCCTCGCCTCTGCTTGAAGGGGTCTGCTTTCCTCTTCGGCCGCTCGTCTCGTCCCTCCTTGCAGGCTCGGCGCTTCCGGACAGAGGCCGCGGGCGCGCGGGCCGGCAGGCCTCGGCCTGCCGATGGACGTCTTGAGCGCTCGCTCCCGCGGGGCCTGTCCAAGAGCTCGCCATCGCTCGGACGTCCCTTCCCCGTGGATTCTTCGGTGTCGCGCGTGTCTCTGTTTGCACGATATGCACACGTCCGACATATGCCAAAAGAGACGTGCAACGTCCGCTTCCGCTCGGCTGCTAGCGAGGGGTCTCGATCTCGAGGCTCGAAGCTCCAGGGCGATGACACGCCGAGCCCGGCCCTCTCGGCGTCCGCCGCGGCACCCCGCGGCCTTCGGACGGCACCGGAGGCCAGTCTCGGCGGCGAGCGAGGGTGGGAAGTGAGAAGGCGAGGGCCTTTTCAGAAGGCGGCGGGGCTCCTCAGAGGCCCTCGCGCCTTCTGAGAGGTTTCCCGTGTCTTCCGGGAAGGCTCAGAGCACTTCTCAGAAGGCGGGGGGACTTCGGAGTCTTCTGAGAAGGCCCGCCCCTTCTCACTTCCCCCCGGGCCCCGCAGCCGATCCCGCGTACGGGGGATGTAGGATTTCATTGCGACGGTCGTCGCTTGCTCGTGCTTGGCCCCGCCTGTGGCCATAGACACGTACCGAGACCGAGACCGAGAGAGATGTGCCCTCTGCCTGTCTCATGGCATGCACCCTGTCCCCTTCTCACCGCCCCCTCCCGGGCCCTTTTTGTCCCTTCATCCTCGACTTTTAGTCGCAAGGCCTCCGTCGGCTCCGCCGTGCGCGTCGCTCCCCTGTTTTCTCCCCATGTGCACAGCTGCCGCCTGGCCTGCTTTTGCAAGTCGCCCTGGAGAATCTCCCAAGGGCGGCCGATCGCTCCAGCCTCGCCGAGACAGATCGGTGGGCCGCGTCAGCGCAAGACCAGCGTCCGAGAGGCCAAGGCAAGACAAGTCATCAGGACCTCCACCCGAGCATGAGCAGCGTGCACCTCTGCGACGATTCAAGCATACCTATACGACCACTCTACGATGATAAGGATGTTGGGGGGAACAGCAATGGGCAACATTGGTGACTGTTGTTCTGACGATGCCTGTGGTGCGCATATCGATGTGCATGTCGATTTGCTTTTCGATCTGCATCTTGATATGCATGTCGACATATCGATGTGCATGTCGATTTGCTTTTCGATCTGCATCTGGATTTGCATGTAGACATTCATTGGGAAACTCGCCGCAGGCGAATATTTTTTAATACGCAACCCACGGCGCCTTACGATTTGCATTTGGATGTGCATGTCGATTTGCATTTCGATGTGCTTTGCGGTTTGCATGTCGGTTTGCATGTAGACTTGCATTGGATAGCTCACCGCAGCCACGGCGGGACACCAGCGGGACACCAGCGGGAAACCGCGGGGCACCGTTTGCCGGGTGGAGAGACTTTTGGTCCGGCCGCGGCCCGGCCACAGGAAGATTTCGGGACATGCACCAGCGGGACACCGAGGGGCACCGGCCGCCAGAGGAGAATCATTTGGTCTGGACGCGGCCCAGCCACAGGAGGATTTCGGGACACCAGTGGGACACCGGCGGGACACCGCGGGCTACCCGCCGCCGGAGGAGAAACATTTGGTCCGGCCGCGGCCCAGCCACAGGATAATTCCGGGACGCTAACGGGACACCGGCGGGACACCGCGGGCCCCCGGCCGCCGGAAAAGAAACATTTGGTCCGGCCGCGGCCCAGCCGAGGAGTTCGGGACACCAGCGGGACACCGGCGGGACACCGCGGGCCACCAGCCGCCAGAGGAGAAACATTTGGTCCGGCCGCGGCCCAGCCACAGGAGGATGTCCTCTCGCCCGGCCGCGCAACTTCGCCTCGCCCGCACGCACGCACGGCACGCACGACACGAAACCGAAACCGAAATCGATTTCCCGGTAGGGGGGGTCTCCGGTCCGGGTTTTGAAGGCCTGGCGAAATGACAGCTACGCGGGCTGTGCAGAGGCATGAGCGGCGGAACTTTAGAAAATCCCTGCGCAGCGCGGCGGCGAGAACCCAGCTCAGCCCTCTCTAGGCTGCCACATTCACGATGAGCGCGGCGAAGACGAAGCATGCGCCGCTCCGATGCAACACTTCCATTTTCACGCACAAGCTGCGAAACCGGCTGAACGATGGATGACACCATTTCGCCCGTTCTCACGCGAGGCCCACAGACGCTGCCGCATTCATGCGACTCGGGAGAAACATGTGAGGCGCCTGCGTGGGAACGCCACTTCCAAGCGACATTTGCGCGGATCTGTTGCGAGGGCGACACATCGCCCGCTCGCGCGGGGCCCCAAACCGTGGCGAGTCAGAAATACGCACCGTGCAAGAACGGGGGCGCCGTTAGGCGAAATCTGCGTGGCGCCGAAACGAGAGCGACATTTTCGCCCGCTTGCTCGTCGACGAATTAGCGTGCAAAACATGTGCGCCGCGCCAGGGCGCGAGCTCAATTCTCAGGAAACGTGAGCGCGGCGCCGAGGCGAAAACAACATGTCGTCTTTTCGCGCGGGGTGCGCGTCCCGTCCCATTCCTGCCACACGTTTTGCAACGCCAACGGCCGAACGCCCGTGTTGAGAGCGACAACGCTGACTTCATATACTTTTAAAGGTAGAAATCGCTATCGGCCATCTAGGTGGCGGAGTAGGAATGTATACCAACATAGAATGAGGATCAGCGGGGGGGAGGAAAGATGGACGGACAAGGCGAAGAAAACCGGGGCCAGGATCAGGATTCCAATGCAGTCAAGCATCCTCCTGACCCCCAGGGGATGATGTCCGAGGAACACATGAGGCGATCAATTGTTGCTGAACGAGCGAATGGAAGGGGGAACCCCAAGCTGAACCCCAAACCAGTTTGTGTGCCACGCCCAGATCGCGTTGTCTGAATTCATGATATTCGCGTCCCCGAGGCCATGATCATTAGTACATGACACCATGCTCGCGTCCACGAGGCAATCAAACATCGTAGAATGCGCAATCGTCGCGGCCCCAAAGCCATACTCCCCTTCAGATTACGTTATATTCGCGCCCCCGACACCATTGACCAATGTCAGTTACGCAATGTTCGCACCCCCACGACCATAAACCAATGTAAAATACTGAATGTTCGCGCCCCGAAACCTAAACCGTCGAAAGTTAAACCATATTCGCGTCCCCAAGGCCATACACCCTCGTACATTAAACCATGCCTGCGTCCCCGAGGCCATAAACCCTCGCAACGTACACGATATTCGCGCCCCCGGGGCCATACACCCTCGTACATTACGCAGCAGCTGCGCCCCCGACGCCACAAACCATTGTAACGTACGCAATGTTTGCGCCCCGAGGTAATACATCCCTTGAAAATTACGCAAGGCTCGCGTCCCCGAAGCCATCCACTAGTATAAATTTCCAAATGCTCGCGCCACCGAAGTCATACACCCTCGTACATTGATATTGGCACTTGCGTGAAGTCCCGACATTGCTTCGCGTCGGTGTCCAAACATCCCAACACAGCTCTGGCAAGTCCCATTCTATGAAAGGGGGGCCGACGGCATGGCGGCGAAGCCCTTACGGCTAACAGTGAACATATCCACAGCGAAATCATCGAAGAGGATGAGGAGGAGAGAGGACAAAGAGGAGGAAGTAGGATGAGGAGGAGGAGGAGGAGGAGGAAGAGGAATAGTAGGAGGACGAGGAGGAGGAGGTGGTGGAGGAGGGGGAGAGAGGAGGAAGACGAGGAGCGAACGAGCCATAGAGCAGGAAAAGGTCCGAAAACATCACCCAGACTTGTAGCGAGAAGGGAAGGCAACCGCGGCGAGAAACCTAAGGTTTGGAGGTGGAGGAGGAGCAGGAGGAGGAGGAGGATCGAGGAAAAGGGGGAGAAGAATGAGGATGAGGAGGGAAAGGAGCAGGAAAAGGAGGAGGAGAAGGAGCGAACATCCACAGAAGAGAGTCTGCTTCCCGCCTAAGGCCGCCGCGGGCGCGCCTGCGCCGAGCCTCTCAGGCCCGCGTTGAAGTGGTCCAAGGCGGCGCTGCCGCCCAAGAATCGTCGGAATCGTACGTAATTGTACATTTAGCTGCCCAGGCAGTCGGCGGAGCCGTCGAAACCGACCGGGCGGTCGTCGGTGCCGTCGAAGGGTCCCGCAGCGAGCGCGAACGGGTGGCCGCCCACGTGGGCGGCGGCGCCATAGGTCGAGCCCCGCACGCTGAGCGTGGACGGCTGGAAGTCGAAGGAGTCGGCGAAAGTGTCGCCGAGCGAGGCGGAGTAGCCGACCATGTGGAGGTCGGCATGAACGGAGAGAGCCTTGCAGCATCATCGAACCGGAAGTCAATCATGGCATCTAGAGGGAGGGCCTCCTGGCACCATCTGGTCACGAAAGTTTGCATCAATGCATCAACGTGTCCAGCACGGCCTGCGGCAGCTTGGAGACCGTCTCGCATATTATTATCCTGCTTGTCCTTTTTGACCTTCGTAGTCTCCGTCTTCTCTTGTTTGTAGCAGACCGGGGAAAGTCACGGACGGTACCACCTTGGAGAGCGTCGCGGGGCGCCGAAGCAGCCAACATTGCCGTTGCGTTCGCGTGCGTGGACTAGGGCGTGAACGTCAGGCGCACTGCGCCCGTCAACTCGTGCACGCCATAGCCTTGCAGACAGTGGGGGAGCAGCAGCATGCCCGGTGAAGATGCGACTGGGCCGAACGTGTGGCACGGTCTGACACCTCGCATCGGTGAGAAAACTTGCAGTGCGGGTAGAGATCCTCGGGCCCACGGGAAGGGTCTTGAGGCAGAAGAAGTCGACCGCTCCTTGGTGTATGGCAGCGGCAAGCTCGTGCTCCGCTTGGGGCACACCATTGCGCTGCACCGCACAGGCTTTATGTAGAGTGCAGTCGCCATCGACACGAGCCACGTCACAAACGCCGAGATGAGCGCGAGCAGCATCCACAAAACACAACCCGCATCGCGACGAACGAGAGGGTCGGGGTCAGCACCAGATTTATGAAGCACGGCGCCAGCATCCAGATGAGCAGCACTGCCATCCACAGAGCCTTGAGGAACTTCGTAGTCGCCCGGGAGGTCCGCACGAGGACCGTGCCCGTCCATCCGCAGACCACGATGGTCCTCGCCAGAGCAAGAAGTCGGAGTCCGAGAAGGTACCAGTTGCCGAGCATCGACCCGATCCCCAGCACGGTCCAGATCCACCGCAGGGCCCCGAGATCCAGCATGGTCCCGATCACCAGGAGAGCCACTAGCAGCAGCGGCAACATAACATTCGCGAACACAGCGATCTTCGAACACGGCCAGTTCGCACTCGAAATCAATGTCGAAGGCGATGCGGTCGGCGAAATCATAGTCGTGACAAGAGCAAGCATAAGCAACAACCTGACGCGGCGTAGGGTCAAGCGGCGACGAAGAGAGGTGTAGAAGAAAATCTTGCCGAATCTGTGGGCCCATCGGAGCCGGCCCAGCGGCAGACGCAGCAAGGTCGGCAGCAGCTTCGACTTCCAGGTCGGAGGGCGCGCACGCGGGCATGGAGAAGGACAGGTAATCCACCAGCTCAGGCAGGGACTCGGCGTTCACCACCCCGATCGGGATCATAGGCAGCGGGGCGTGCATCTGGGGCAAGACGGACGGTGGGCGACAACTGGCCAGAAACGACAGGACCACCTGCGAGAGCGCGGCGACAGCAGCGGCCAGCGGCGGCAGCAGCGCGCGCGGCCCAGGCGGGCCAAGCGCATCTGCAAGGAAACTGGGCCTGGAACCAGCCCCTGAGGAAACAATGCCAGGAAGAGGCGGAACACGATGTTTGAGGCGGCCGTACCGCTTATTTTGTCGATGCAGTCGTGGCAGTTCGTGAGGTGGGAGAAGAGGAGCCGCAGTACCGATGGCCCGGCGCAGCGGACGTGCAGGCTTCCCACAAATCCCCTGCAGTTGACTATGCAGCTGGAGTCCCCGAACTACTCCACGGGCATGTTCATGAGGTTCAGCTGGAATTCGAACGTGGCCATGGCCAGCAGGGCACCACGCCAGAACACCCAGAGCACGAGCTCAACATGCACGCCGAGCACGGGCAGCAGGCGAACGGCGGTGCGGCATGGCGTCACAAGGACTAGCGACAGCAACGACCACCAGCCAGCAGGCGGCAGCGAGCGCTGCACATTGCATGCATGGGCAGGCGGCGCGTGCGGGGCCGCGACCTAGCATGGGCTTGAGGCAAAATGGCTACGGAGGAGGAGGAGAACGAGGAGGAAAACGAGGAGGAGGAGAACGAGGAGGAGAACGAGGAGGGGAAGGACGCGGAGGAGGAGCAGAAGGCGAGGAGGCACGGCGCCCGCCTGAACGGCCTGCTGGGCCAGCGTCTGCAGCTTGGTGCGCCCGTCCTGCAGGTTGACCTTCAGCGACTGGTCCAGCGCGATCTGCGACGACATCGCGATCATCGCCTGCACGTCTATCGAGCCGACGATGTCGCTGTAATTCGACGTGGTGAGGCCGGCCCATGTGTTCACACGAATGCGGCGCTCCCCGTTGGAATTCGTGTAGAGCAGCGCGCTCTGGACGCACAGGACCGGCTCGGGCGTCGTGTTCTCCTCCATGTCGATGGATATGGCAAACGTCTGGTCCGCGTGGCAGTTGGGCACGACCAGCAGGTCTTGGCCTCGGATAAAGAGGTGGCCGTAGAACTTTGTGATCTTCCAGCCGCGGCTGACGCGCACCCGCATGACCGCTTCCCAGCCCATGTAGCGGGTGAGCACGTGCAGGAGCTCCTTCCTCAGCTTCTGAGCCGAGGTGGCGGCCTGGAACTGCGGGTAGAGGCGGACGTCGCCGCCAGTGAACTTGGCGAGGGGCGCGATGGATGCGAGGTCGATGTACGCCTGCGGCGCGAAGAACATCTCCACCGATATCTGCGCCCTCGTCAACTCGGTGGCCAGGTCCTTGTACCCGTCGCTGACGGGGCGCAGGAGCTCCACCTCGCGCTCCGTGCCGAGCACCCGCGGGTTGTCGCGCGTTGACTTGAGGGACAACTCGCCGACGCTGGGGATGCAGGCGCCGAAGACCAGCAGCTTGCCGCCGATGTGCTTCATGGCCGCGAAGGCGCCCTTCACGGCGGAGCCCATGCAGGACTCGTTCGTCTTCGTCTCCCTGGGGGGGGGCGGCGGCGGGGCACCCCACTGTCCCCAGCACAAGCAGCGCGCTGGCATCGCGCGTGGTTCCCTTGCCTCTCTTCGCCTGCTGGTGAACAGCACACGCTGCTGCCTGCGCGTATGTCTTGTCTTCCCCGGCATCCAACGTGCGACGCATCTCTGCGACAGGCGCTCTCAACGCGACCTCTGCGGGGCTTTTCTCGAGCCAGATCGATCCGTTAAGACCCTGAGCCCAAGACTGGGGCACTGTGATCATACGCGACGTTCGGACGTGAAGGTTCCCGACTTGGCATGAACGCGTCGTCGTCGTCGTCGTCGTCCCACTCTGTCATGCGGCCCCATTTCCCTTCCCCTCCCCCTTTTCTCCATCCTTCTCCTCCTGCTCCTCCTCCTCCTCCTCCTCTTTTGGACCTTATTGGGCGTTCCGTGTTGACCGTGCGGAGCGCATCGGAAATAGTTCGGAAGACTTGACATGATGAGACGTGAAATCTTGAAGGACACTGGTCCTGGACCCCTGGGCTTTTTCCAGGAGAGACTTCCCTTTTCCGCTCTCTCACACTCTCATTGGCTTGGGAAAGACCCCCAAGGCCGAACATGGTGAAAAGGCCTGAGGGCCCCTTCCGTCGGGACCGCGTCTCCCCCTGAGATCCGACGCTACGGAAGAACGCCAAATCGCGAAAAATCATGACCCGAGCCCCAGTCCCACTCTTCTTGCGGCAATTTTCGAGCCTGATCGATCCGTGCTGGTCCTGGGGTCCGAGGCAATGCAAAACCGCCCGGAGCGAAACAATTGCGACGCCAGGATCTCGGGGTCTTCCTGGCGACCGACCTGAAGAGCTGAGGCAGGGCGTCGAGCAGGGTCATAATCGACGACTCGCACTCCTCAATGGGGGCAAGGACGTCGTCGGGGAGGGGGACGAACACGTCCTCCAGGTCTGAGACGACCAGCATCTGCGGCTGGCTCAGGTTCGCGTTCAGGTTGTAGAAGTGCAGGGACGTGTCGAAAGTGATAATGCCTAAGCTCTCCTCCCACCTCCATCCTCACTGCTCCTCATCCTCCTTCTCCTGCTCCTCCTCATCATCATCCTTCTTCTCTTCCCTCTTTCTCCTCCCTCACTTCGAACTCCTCCTCCATCGCCTTCTCTTCCCCTTCCCCCTCCTCCCTGTCTGCCTCTTTAATTCCCCCTCCCTTCCCCCCCTTGGGCGCACACCGTCACGGATTGCGGATCCAGATCGAGGAAAGTACTCCTGGAAACATGGCGCCAGGACCGCCTGAATTTGGCGAAGGAGCGCGCCGATCTTATATGGAAGCGAGACCCGCCGCTGATCCACGCGCAGTGTGCTTCAGCCAATGCTAACGTTTTCTCGGCTCTACGCCCCTCCTTCCTCCCCGGTTCTCCCCCTGCCCCTCTACTCCTCAATCGAAGCACATTGGGCGTATCCCAAAAGCCCTCACCGCACGGTACGTCGCCGCACCGTTTTGGAACGACCCAAGCCAAACGCGGCCACCCAGAATCCACACTGACTCACCACACGGTGTGGTCACCGCACCGTTGGAAGCCCCCCGAGCACAGAAGCTGGCCACACGCAAGAGTGACCCTCCCTAGCCAAGAGCGATGCTTGATGTGCGGCTTCAAGGGGGCCGCGGGGAAACCAAATCCAAGCGCGCAAGTCAATGCAGGAGAGACCCCAGGGGGCCCGCACTAAAGTCATTCTGGCGAGAAATCAATCTTACACGTAGCCAGTGAAGGTGCCTATCTGTGTCCGGCTCCCGCCCGGGATCTCGCCGGACTGGATGGCCTCCTTGATGCTGGCCACCACGGCGTCGAGCATGCCGGTGACCACGGCCGTATAGGACACGTCGATGACGAACATGAAGACTGGGGGCTGGGGCGGCCTCGACACGCGCGCTCTGGTGGCGAGGGAGGGTGGGGCGGAGGAGGGAGGAGGAGAGGGAGGAGGGGGCGGCCTCACCATGTGCGCTCTTCCCTCCCCCTCCCCCTCTGGCAACTTACCCTCGGGGGCGACCGAGGGTACCGCAGCCGCGCTCGGCGTAGGCCCGCTCGGCGGGCGTGCGCGCGACGCGGTAGCGGATCAAGTATCGCCGCGCGTAGGCCGTTCGCAGCAGCATGAGGGGGGGTATGAGGGCAAGAGGGGACATGAAGTCGGAGGAGGAAGAGGGAAACGAGGAGGGAGGAGAGGGCAAGGAAGGAGGGAGAGAGGGAACGGGGGGGAGAAGGGAAGAGAAGGGGGGATGATACAGAGAAAATGGGGGCCAGAAGAATGAGGTGAGGAGGCAGATGGGAGGAGTGCATGCGCACTCTAGCTGCTCGTTCTGGAAACCTTCCTGGAGCCACTCGCTCTACTCATGCGTCGATGCTGCGTCGAGCGTCTGTCGACTTGAATCGAACATGAGTCGAGCTCGCGGCGAGCCAGAGTTGAACAGATCCGTTAGGTGGGTCCAAGAACATCTAATGCACACTGGCCGCGCTGATGTCGTAGCCGGAGCTTCCTCTGGGGCACGATCCGTGGATTCCGTGGAACAACGAAAAACAGGCACCGTACTGGCAGGGGTGTTGCTAGAGGTGGTCCTGGCCCACGGTGTCCCCAGCATTTGGCGCCATTTTGGAGCCCCTGGGGCCCTCTTGAACTCGTGAGGGGTCCTCTGCAGGCAGGGGGCACCTCTGGCAACACTCGGAGCAGCAGCAGGAAGTGGATGAGGGGGAGAATGAGGTGTGAGCGCGACGCCGCGGATTTCAGAACGATGATCTAGCATAATAGGAGGGCTCGGGTGGTGAGAAATCAAGCAGAAGAGGACAAGGATGATAAGGAGGAGGAGGAGGAGGAGGAGGAGGAGGAGGAGGAGGAGGAGGAGGAGGAGGAGGAGGAGGGTTCCTTAAGACGAGACCAAGACTGGGACAAACTCGGACCGGGACAAATCGGGGATTTCTTATATCCAGCTGTTCTGGAGGATGTAGTGGGCACGGCTGCCGTTCCAGAGCGCTCCAGGACGCCCTGAGAGCGGTGTATACCGGTCCTAGCACCGCTCGTATCTTGGAGAGCAGAGCAATACATAGACATAAAGACGTCCGCGGACAGTTTCTCCGCCAGCACTGGAGCCTGTCCCAACACCGCTCGCTGGCGCGCCGACCACGGGTGCCGGGAGGGAGTCTGGCGCCAGCGGAGAGACCGACCACGGACATCAATCTGGCTATTTGCCGGCCCAACGGGCCAGAGGCGTGCTAAGATCTCCGGTAACTGGTTAACAATATTTCTAGTTCGCGCGCGCGGAGCGGCCCCTGGGGGCCCCCGGACAAAAAGTACCCCGGCCAGGTCCCGGTCAGGTCCCGGTCAGCTCCAAGGGAGGGCAATTTTTCGACACCCCTCATGAGGATCGTGGCCTCCGAGGGGGGAGCCGCAATCGACTGCCCCCCCCTCCCGCCCCAAGAGGCCCCCAAGAGCTCCCCAAGAGGCCCTGGGGGCCCCCAAGACGCCGCCAAGGAGCCCCAAGAGACTCCCAAGAGGTCCCCAAGAGGCCCCCAAGAGCGAAGCGAAGCGATCAATAAGACGTCTAAGGCACGTGTGTCGACGATGTGGATAAATATTCCATTGAGTACCTGCCAGCAGGCTGGTTTCTTGCTTGACGTGCCTGCTTCATATCCCCGACGACTCGATTCCCTTCGAGTCGCCGGGCCCTGGAGCCCCCCCCCCCTCCTCCAGTCGTTCTCGATTCTAAAGTCTGGGGAGGTGGGCAAGGTTTGCAGGGACAGACGAAACTGGAGACGGTACCCTACATCGGCGGCGAGCGAGGGGGGAAGTGAAGTGAGAAGGAGAAGACCTTCTCAGAAGGCGGCGGGGCTTCTCAGGAGCCCTCGCGCCTTCTGGGACACGTTGTCTTTGGGAAAAGCTTAGTGCTTAGTGCACTTCTCAGAGGGCCCGGCGACTTCCGAGCTTTCTGAGAAGGCCTTCGCCTTCTCACTTCCACCCCCAAGCTCGCCGCCGAGTTTCTGCCTCAGACCGACAGCGACCGCTGCCGGGCAGGCGACGTCGGCCTCGACGGGACAACGCCCGCAGCGACGCCGACAGCGAGCGCAACTCCACACGCGGGCGACCCAAAGCAACGGGTCTCACGCAAGATGACACAGCGACCTTACGCGGCGGCTTACGCGGGCCACCAGCGCGGCACGCCACATTGTCGACGAGGGCGCTTGCGCGCGACTTCACGCGGGCAGCTTGCGCGCCAATGTCGGCGCAGTCGACCCCGCTCTTTTTGCGTCGCCCACGTGTAAGAGCTGCTGCTGGTCTGCGTGTTCACTCTTCCCGTCCCCCGTGCTGATCCTCCCGAGCGACGGGCGGAGAACGGCCTCACCATGTACTCCCCGGGGGCGATGTACTCCAGCGCGCCTCTGCACAGCTCGGGCCTCGAGCGGGGTGGGAGGCGGCCGCGGCGAGGAGATGAGGGAGGGATGGGGCAGGGAGGAGGCGATGAGGGAGGGGTGGTAGGAGCAGGAGGAGCGGCTTCTCGTCCTCCTCCCTCTCCCTCCCTCCCTGCCCCCTGCCCTCCTCCTCCGTTCCCTCCTCCTCCTCCTCCTCCTCCTCCTCCTCCTCCTCCTCTCCATCCTCTCCCTCGCCCTCCGTCCTTCCCCTCGCCCCCGCCCCCCCTCCCCCCTTCCCTGTTTGTTCTTCGCCCTCCTCCCCTCGCATGATGTCTTGCAGGCGCACGCGGCGCCACGCGGTGTCCCTTATTGGGCGGCACCTGCTGTGCCTTTGCAGTCATCGTCCGCCCGCGAAGTGGAGCGGCACGCGCCCCTCGCAGCTCCACTCCGGCGCCCTCGTCAGCGGGGGCGGGCTCCCTGCCGGACTGGGCGCCGCCAGGCCACTTCGCGCCGCGCGCGGGGGATCGGTGCCGACAGCCGCGCCGTCGCCTCGTCCTCGCGAGTCCGCGCCACTCGGGCAGCCGCGCGTCGCCGCTCTTCTGCTGCACGACACGCCGCGCCGTGCTCCGAGCGGCCCTGGGGCGCGCTGCGCCAGCAAGCCTCGCCGGGCCACTGCCGCGTCGGCGCAGGCTGCTGCTCGTCCTCGCCCGGCCGAGCCTCGACGGGGGGGAGCGAAGGCCCAATGGCGGCAGCGAGCGGCGAGCAGCAGCGAGCCAGGCAGCCCTCTGCGCCGAGAGGTGCGGCCGCGGGCTGCGACTCGGGCTACGGCTGCTGCTGCGGCTGCAGCTGCGGCTCGGGCTGCGGCTCGTGCTGCGGCTGTAGCTGCGGCTGTCGCGCGGGCCCTGCGGCGCAGGCAGAGGAGGAGGACGAGGAGGAGGAGGAGGAGGAGGAGGAAGAGGAGGTGGAGGAGGAGGAAGAGGAGGAGGAGGAGGAACATCGGCGAGAACCGCCGCAGAGGCCCGTGCTCTCCCAAGACGAGGCGCGGCAGCCTCGGCTCGCACCTGGGGCGCGGCTCGTGGGGATCTGCGCGGCGGGTCGAGTCCTTTGCACCTCGGCTGCTGCGACAGCTGACCTGTTGGCTGCTTACCTCCCTCTCTTCCCTCGTGGTCAGGCGCATCGGTGGTTGATGGGCTCCCCTGGCGGCCCTGGATGCCCTTCTCCTCCCGAGTCCTCCCCACCAGAGCCTGCCCTCGCGCGGAACCTGCTGTGGCGAACGGCTGTCTGATCCTTCGCCGAGCGTCGGCTTGACGCTTCCTTGCGCCGTCGAGGCCGACCTCCTCCTCCTCCTCCTCCTCCTCCTCCTCCTCCTCCTCCTCCTCCTCCTCCTCCCTCCTCCTCCTCATCCTCCTCCCTCCTCTCTCCTCCCAACTCCAGCCTCCTCCCTCCCTTCCTCCTGTCCTCTGTCCTCCCTCCTCCCTCCTCCCTCCCTCCCTCCCTCCCCCCCGTCCTACCTCCCTCCCCCCCTCCTTCACTCTCCTCGATGCTCCTCGATCCTCCGTTCTCTCCTGTCCTCCCCGCGCGCGCGGAAGGGGGGAGGCCGGCCCCGCCTCTGGTAGCGGTCGATCCGCTTGCCCGTCTCGTCCAGGCTGGCGAAGTACTGGTCCGGGGTCAGCTGCGAGAACCCGCACAGGTTGCAGGTCCACCTGCGGCCGTTGGCCTCCCAGTGGACGAAAGGGTTGACGTACGTCCTGCAGCTCTTGCACCTGGGGCGCTCCAGGGTGGGTTGAGGGCCGAGGCGACGACAACTTGAGATTCGGATTCTGTTTTGCTCGATGTCTCTGGAGCTTCTCGTTGCCACGGCTGGGCGCAGCTCGAACATCTGGTCAGGAAGAACCCCAGGAGGTCAGGGGGCCGACTTTGAGAGCGAAGGAGGCCTCGCCTTGGACGAACCGAATAGTCGATCTCTCACCATGGGCGAAGGCTGGCGTTAAGTAAAACGAGGGGGGGGTCCGAAGCGAAGCGCGAAGACGGCGGACGCCGCCCAGCGGACAACAAATAGAGGTCCACGCCAGTTTGCCTGGGCTTCTGTGCGAGGCGGGGATTTATCCATAGCCACCGCCTGTGGAAACCACGCCCTGGGACCTCATGGGGGCGGTCGATGTGGATACATCTTGGCCCTAGGGAGCCCGAATATGCTCGTATCCACTGCCCGCAGAGGTTCCCGAAGCTCGATCCCCGAGTGGTGGTTCTGGATGAACCTACGCCTCGGATTCTGGAGTCGGCCACCTGGCCGGTTCCGGAAACCCTACCTGGCCGATTCCAGAAACCCTAAATCCCAACAACATTTTTGTCTCTTTGGGGGCGCATCTCTTACTTCCGCCGCCTTCCGCTGGCCTTCCGCCCAATTCCGACGGCGGAGGCGGCCGCGTCTTACGCCCGCCGCCTCCCGCGGGCCTTCGCTGGGAAAGAAATGTCAGCTTTCGATCCTCGATGGCGAGGCCCTTTCTGGAACGCCTCACCTGATGATGGTCCCCACAGTTCCGAAGTTCACGGTGGGCACGCCCAAGGGCGCTGTTCCATCCTCCATCTGCTCCGGCGGAACCGGCGCCAGGGGCTGCAGCACGATGCCGAGCGGCATCTTGAACTTGTCCTCTGGGAGCACCGAAGCGACAGACCAAACACGCAAAGTGCAGGGCGCACCCATTCTGGAACATCTTCCACGGTGGCCTCTGGAGGCCTTGCTTTGTTCGACCTGCTTTGGTCTCTATGCCTCCCTGCGGAGGCAGAGGAGGAGGAGGAGGAGGAGGAGGAGGAGGAGGAGGACGAGGATGAGAAGGAGGAGGAGGAGGAGGAGGTTTTTTTGTTTCCTGTGACGCCGTCAGCCTGAAACAAAACAACATGATCGACCCACGAACCCGGAAAGGAATATAGGAATGTAAGACATTGCAACGTTTAAAAGACACCCCATTGGGCAACGGGCACATGCAGTGTTGACTGTATCGATCTTGATGTACCGTGCCGAGGGCTGTGCTGTGCTGCGCCGTGCTGAACTGCGATGTGCCATGCCGCGATTGTGCTCTATATAGCGTTGTGGATCGAGTCCTCCCTGGCATCCGAGTCCTCTCCGAACTGATCTAGATCGTAAGCTCGAGCTGCCTGAGCAGATGGTAGCTGCCCCAGAACTAATCGACAGAGGGAACATGCCAGGAGGACCACCGCGCGACGTGCCAGGGGGACTCCCCACGGGACGCTCCGCGGAACGTGCCAAGCAACATGCCAAGCTGCAATGCTAAGGGTATCGATATTGATGTACCGTGCTGAGGGCTGTGCTGTGCCTGGGCGACCTGGGCACGTGAAAACACGCGTTTCGCTCAAGACGTTGTCAACACATCCTCATGCTAGACATCCGCCTGGGCAACCAGGACACGTGCAAACAAGCGTCTCGCTCGAGACATCCTCAACATATCCTCATGCTAGACATCCGCCTGGGCGACCTGGACACGCGAAAACAAGCCTCTGGTTCGAGACATCCTCACCAAATCCTCATGCTAGACATCTGCCTGGGCAACCTGGAGGCGTGAAACCAAGTGTCTCGCTCGAGACATCCTCAAGACCTGGGCACGTGAAAACAAGCATTTCACTTCAGAGATCCTCTGAGTTCTGGTCCCCAGGAGAAAACAATATATAACACAAAACAAGCGTTTCGCTCGAGACATCCTCTACGCATTCTGAAAAACAAGCGTTTCGCTCGATACATCCTCACATTTTAATTCGCCGGCCCTACGCGACCTCGTCATTTATCGCAAAAGAAATTCACCAACCCTACAGCCGTCAGATCCGGGAGCAAACCCCTAAAAGAGAACCCTGGGCCTGTGCCCTTTCCGGGAACATGATGGACCCACGAACCCGGAAAGGGATAAAGACATGTGCAGCATGGTCACGTTTTCACGATACCCAACTGGGCGACATCCCACGAAACATCCCACGAGACACCCCGCGAAACATCCCACGAGACACCTCACGAAACATTCCACGAGACACCTCACGAAACATTCCACGCGACACCCCGTGAAACAGTCCACGAGACACCCCACGAACAGGCAACCACTCAACCAGACACGCCACGAAACATTCCACGGGGGTGCGAGAAACCAGTGGCTCGAGTACGCTGGGGTTCGTGCTGGGGTGAGGTCGTGCTGGGGTATGGTCGTTTTCACGATACCCAACTGGGCGACATCCCACGAAACATCCCACGAGACACCCCGCGAAACATCCCACGAGACACCTCACGAAACATTCCACGAGACACCTCACGAAACATTGTGAAACAGTCAGGCAACCACTGCCACGAAACATTCCACGGGGGTGCGACTGGGTGTGGTCGTGCTGGGGTGTGGTCGTGCTGGGGTGTGGGTGCTGGGGAGTGGTCGTCTGGGGTGTGGTCGTCCTGGGGGGTGGTCGTGCTGGGGTGTGGTCGTGCTGGGGGGGTGGTCGTGCTGGGGGGTGGTTGTGCTGGGGCGTGGTCGTGCTGGGGCGTGGTCGTGCTGGGGCGTGGTCGTGCTGGGGTGTGGTCGTGCTGTGGTGAGGTCGTGCTGGGGTGTGGTCGTGCTGGGGTGTGGTCTTGCTGGGGTAGGGTCGTGCTGGGGTCTGGTCGTGCTGTTTCGCTCGAGACCTCCTCAACAAATTCTGAAAAACAAGCGTTTCGCTCGAGACATCCTCAAAATTTAATCTGCCGGCCTCCTTCGACCTCGATATTTATCAGGGAAAAAATTCGCCGGCCCAAGTCGCAGGGGGGCCGGGGGGTTAACCTACTAAAAGAGAACCCTGGGCCCGCGCCCTTTCCGGGAAACATGATGGACCCACGAACCCGGAAAGGGATATAGACATGTGGAGCATGGACACGTTTTCATGATACCCAACTGGGCAACACCTCACGAAACATCCCACGAGACACCTCACGAAACATCCCACGAGACACCTCACGAAACATTCCGCGAGACACCTCACGAAACATTCCACGAGACACCCCTCGAAACATTCCACGAGACACCCACGAAACAGGAAACAACTCAAAAAGACACGCCCACGAAACATTCCAGGGGGTCGACTGGGGTGTGGTCGTGCTGGGGGGTGGTAGTTGTGCTTTTTTTTTGAGGGGTGAGGGTGTGGTCGTGCTGGGGAGTGGTCGTGCTGGGGTGTGGTCGTGCTGGGGTGTGGTCGTGCTGGGGGGTGGTCGTGCTGGGGGGGTGGTCGTGCTGGGGGGTGGTCGTGCTGGGGGGGTGGTCGTGCTGGGGCGTGGTCGTGCCACCCCGCGAAACATCCCACGAGACACCACACGAAACATTCCACGAGACACCTCACGAAACATTCCACGAGACACCCTTTGAAACATTCCACGAGACACCCCACGAACAGGCAACCACTCAACCAGACACGCCACGACACATTCCACGGGGGTGCGACTGGGTGTGGTCGTGCTGGGGTGTGGTCGTGCTGGGGTGTGGTCGTGCTGGGGCGTGGTCGTGCTGGGGTGTGGTCGTGCTTGGGTGTGGTCGTGCTGGGGGGTGGTCGTGCTGGGGGGGTGGTCGTGCTGGGGGGTGGTCGTGCTGGGGCGTGGTCGTGCTGGGGCGTGGTCGTGCTGGCGTGGTCGTGCTGGGGTGTGGTCGTGCTGTGGTGAGGTCGTGCTGGGGTGTGGTCGTGCTGGGGTGTGGTCTTGCTGGGGTAGGGTCGTGCTGGGGTCGGGTCGTGCTGGGGTGTGGTCGTGCTGGGGTATGGTCGTGCTGGTGTGGGGTCGTGCTGGGGTGGGGTCGTGCTGGGGTCTGGTCGTGCTGGGGTGTGGTCGTGCTGGGGTATGGTCGTGCTAGGGTGGGGTCGTGCATTTCGCTCGAGACATCCTGCCAAAATTCCAGGAAATCGTACAAAAACATGATGGACCCACGAACCCGGAAAGGGATATAGACATGCGCAGCATGGTCACGTTTTCACGATACCCAACTGGGCGACATCTCACAAAAAATCCCACGAGACACCCCGCGAAACATCCCACGAGACACCTCGCGAAACATTCCACGAGACACCTCGCGAAACGTTCCACGAGACACCCCGCGAAACATTCCACGAGACACCCCACGAAACATTCCACGAGACACCCCACGAAACATTCCACGAGACACCACACGAAACATTCCAGGGGGGTAGAGACTGGGTGTGGTCGGCTGTGCCACGCGTTCGGGCTTCGCAGTGTGGTCCCGTGCTGGGGGGGTGGTCGGCTGGGGTGGTCGTGTGGGGCGGCGATCGTGGCTGGGGCATGTCGTGCTGGGGTGTGGTCGTGCTGGGGTGTGGTCGTGCTGGGGTGGGGTCGTGCTGGGGTGTGGTCGTGCTGGGGGGTGGTCGTGCTGGGGGGTGGTCGGGTGGTCGTGCTGGGGGGGGTGGTCGTGCTGGGGTGTGGTCGTGCTGGGGCGTGGTCGTGCTGGGGCGTGGTCGTGCTGGGGCGTGATCGTGCTGGGGAGTGGTCGTGCTGTGGTGAGGTCGTGCTGGAGTGTGGTCGTGCTGGGGTGTGGTCTTGCTGGGGTGGGGCCGTGCTGGGGTGGGGTCGTGCTGGGGTGGGGTCCTGCTGGGGTGTGGTCGTGCTGGGGTGTGGTCGTGCTGGGGTGGGGCCGTGCTGGGGTGGGGTCGTGCTGGGGTGTGGTCGTTCTGGGGTGTGATCGTGCTGGGGTGTGGTCGTGTTAGGGTGGGGTCGTGCTGGGGTGGGGTCGTGCTGGGGTGTGGTCGTGCTGGGGAGTGGTCGTGCTGGGGTGTGGTCGTGCTGGGGGGTGGTCGTGCTGGGGGGTGGTCGTGCTGGGTGGGTGGTCGTGCTGGGAGGTGGTCGTGCTGGGGCGTGGTCGTGCTGGGGTGGGGTCGTGCTGGGGTGGAGTCGTGCTGGGGTGTGGTCGTGCTGGGGTGGTCCGCACCCTGTGATTTATCGATCGGGTCGTGCTGGGGTGTGGTCGTGCTGGGGTGTGGTCGTGCTGGGGCGTGGTCGTGCTGGGGTGTGGTCGTGCTGGGGTGTGGTAGTGCTGGGGCGTGGTCGTGCTGGGGCGTGGTCGTGCTGGGGTGTGGTCGTGCTGGGATGTGGTCGGTTGGGGTGTGATCGTGCTGGGGGTGGTCGTGCTAGGGTTGGGTCGTGATGGGGTGGGTCGTTGCTGGGGTGTGGTAGTGCTGGGGAGTGGTCGTGCTGGGGTGTGGTCGTGCTGGGGGGTGGTCGTGCTGGGGGGTGGTCGTGCTGGGGGGGTGGTCGTGCTGGGAGGTGGTCCTCAGAAATCAGGTCCCCAGGAGAGGACAATCTATAACACAAAACAAGCGTTTCGCTCGAGACATCCTCACCATTTTCTGAAAAACAAGCGTTTCGCTAGAGACATCCTCAAATTTTAATTCGCGGGCCTCCTTCGACCTCGATATTTATCAGGGAAAAAATTCGCCGGCCTCCTTCAAGTTGGCACCGGGGGACAGGTTTACCAACTAAAAGAGAACCCTGGGCTCGAGCCCTTTCCGGGAAAAACGAATTAGTCGAGACATCCTCGAAATTCCTGCGCTTTGGGGCTCTTTTCTCCGCCCCCCCAGTCGCGGTCGGCTCTGTGCTCCCAAAACAAGCGTTTCGCACGAGACATTACCTGGCAAAACAACTGCGGAGCAAGCGTTTCGCTCGAAGGAATTTCGAAAACACACGAAAAGTGGCCCGACACCCTGTTGATTTATCGATCGGATTTCAAAAACAAGCGTTCGCTCGAGACATCCTCAAATTTTAATTCGCCGGCCTCCTTCGACCTCGATATTTATCAGGGAAAAAATTCGCCGGCCTCCTTCAAGTTGGCACCGGGGGACAGGTTTACCCACTAAAAGAGAACCCTGGGCCCGCGCCCTTTCCGGGAAAAACTGGTTTCTGATCAGCTCGGCTCTCGCCGCTTGGAGGGGGGGCCCTCACCTTTTTTCGCCCCACGGTGCGGCTTGGAATAGGCTGCACACCGTTGAACACGACAGAGCCCCCCTCCCCTGCTATCGCCTGGACTTCAAGCCTTGGCCCAGCATGTCCACATTGTCTTTGCCCTTGCTAGACGCATGCCTTGGACACTCTTTGGCCAGACCAATGATGTTTCTCTTTCCTGCTTGTCCGCAGACTGTTCAGTGAAGATACACTGTCTCCTCTTAATTCACTTGGTGCGATTCGTGCACACTCTGCTGGCCCACAATTGCCCCCTCCATCCGAGGCTTCGCAGGACTGGAGGAGGCCGCAGGTTGGGAGCACGGCGTGGCCAGCCTTTCATGCGCAGTCGAACGACTAACAATGGCACGACCGACGACACGTCTCAAGTGGCCTGCCGCATCGAAACGTACATTATGCTGGGAGGCGTCGATCGCCTGCTGAAGCTTTTGCCGACGCTTGCGCCCAACGCGCACCTGTCGCGCGTTCGGAGGTTTCGCTCGTGGGTCCTTTTGGACTGCATCTAAAAACGTGGCGGTTATTCTGGATCTCTCCTTCTGCGCAATTCCTTACGCGATGGAGAGTGCTGCTATATCTGCCAGTGAGACCTGCACGCTCAGACTGATCTGGTCTGCAAGCTTGTCAGCCAGAGTGTTCATCAAACATGCTGCTGGATGTGTGCCTGCTGCCAGGGCATCCTTACAGTCTTGGTGGGATTCAACCTTCCAGAGGACAACCGTTTTCTTCTGCAAGTGCGCTTCAACTCTGCTTCACTGAACTAGGCGGCTCGCGTGCCTGGCGCACCCGCGCATCTCGCGAGCTACTCCTTTTCGCACGTAGTCTGGATCCACAACGTACAGGAGCCTTTCGCAAGAACCGCTGTGCTCAAGAAACTGCAGAAATGCGAAAAGCTCGCCGGTAATGACTGACTGCCTGAAGCCTGGGAGTCCTCCCGCTTCTCCGTGGACGAGCTCCAAGGCTCGGGTCTCCAGCGCACCTGGAGAGCTGCCAATCCATTCAAGATCAACGTGGCCCAACTCACCCGTCTGAGGCGTTCATCTCAAGTGTACGGACCATCCGACGTGTCTCCCGCCCCAACTAGCCAATCCCCCCACTGCCAAGCATCACTGACGGGGTGGCCGAAAGCGACATGCCCGACCATCTCCTCCGGGGGATCGGGACTCCTCGCCCATTCCTTGGGCAGCAAGCCTCTCAGCCAATGCCAGGGTCGCGACTCCAACTCGGCCAGCGCACGGGAAACTAGAACATCGGACTGGATGCAGGCGGGGATGTTGCAAGGGCCTGGTCATTGCCATGTTCCGTGTGCTAGCGGCTCTGGGACCTGCTGATCGCACCGCTGGCAATCGAGAAGGATGCCCTGGTCGGCTAGCCGCGCACGCGGCCACGAAGAACCAGTGACAGCTACGAGAAGCTCCATACCACTCCCACTTCTCCTTTCTCCTGAGGTTTTTCAAACACCCTACGGTTGGAGGTACATCGAGGAGGAGGCATGAGGAGGAGGAGGAGGAGGAGGAGGAGGAGGAGGAGGAGGAGGAGGAGGAGGAGGAGGAGGAAGAGCAGCGGGAGGAGGATGACTGAGGGCCTCTGTAAATCTACCTCCCCTGCCTGCCCTGACCCGGCATTTCGGGACCTGCTGAGTCCTTAGCACTTGCCGAGTTCGGCAGCCGGGACACTGTGCTCCGCACAAAGAGCGCGGGGGAATTGAACTGCTCCAGGTCCTTCTTGACCTGCTAAGGGGTACTTTGCCGTCCGCGCTTTGCAAGCCCATGCTCCTGCGCTCCTTCCCTCTCTTCCCTCTCTTCCCTCTCTTCCCTCTCTTCCTCCTCCTGCTCCTCCTGCTCCTCCTGCTCCTCCTGCTCCTCCTGCTCCTCCTGCTCCTGCTCCTGCTCCTGCTCCTCCTCCTGCTCCTGCTCCTCCTCCTCCTCCTCCTCCTCCTCCTCCTCCTCCTCCTCCTCCTCCTCCTCCTCCACGGCCGCTGCGTCGGAGCTGTCCCGGAGAAGCGTGTCGGGAGCGCAGAGCGCTGTCGGATTCTCACGCGCCTGGCGATAGGGTTGCGTCGTATGCACGCTGGCCAATCGGCGAGAGCGGGCTCTCCCATCATGGCAAGAATCCGCCCACAATCTGCCAGGCCTGAGCTGTCTCGAATCGCGAATCGGATCGGATCGGAAACGGATCGGATCGCCAGCGACTCGTCCCGAGCCGAATCGACATCGGATCGCCGCGCCTGGCCTGGCTGGCACCCGCGGAGGCCAGGGAGTCAAGCCCCGTCTGCCCCCCCCCCCCCCCAGAGCCCCCCGAGGGCACCGCCCCGATCGGCTCAGATAGCCGCGTCGAGCCGCGGCGAAGAGGGCCCGCCCCGCCCCTCGAGGCTACGAGACGAGTGAGCACGTCGACTTTCGCGCACGACGACGACGACGTCGTGGTAGGGCGCCAACTGTGCGCCTGCACCCTGCGCCCGAATCTGGCCACGCCTGTTTTCTGGGCCAGGGCCTGCGCACGAGCTTTCTCGGCTTGGCCAGGAGGGGCGCATGCGCCGGGCCTGGCAGGCCTAGCCAGCACCAATGCGTGCAGGCCCAGATGTCCTCTGGCTCGAGATTTCCAATCCGCGGCCCAGGAGTTCCCGACCCCTGCCCAAGTTGGAGTCTTGCGCACTGGGCCTATCTTTTGATGGCCCCGGGGCCCAAAACCGGCCTTGTGGGGCCCAAACCAAGGAAGGTCCAAGCGACTAAAAGATCATGTCGTCGGAGGTCTGCGGGGTGCACAACTGACCTGGAAGCTTCCCAACTGGGCCCCGAGTAGATGGGGTCCGAGGACCGCGCCGCATCGCCGATGCATCGGCGATGTATCGTCGACGTCGACGTGGAGAAATCGGGCTTCACGTCGAGCCGCATCGCCGATGCATTGGCAACACGGCGCGATCCTCCACCCCATCAGACTCCCAGACATGAGATGTCTTGTTTTTGTCAATAGTTACAGGGGCGGGTCCCTGGAAGTGCCGACATTTTTCCGAATTCTTTTCGGACGGTCCCGAGGCCCGGCCAGACACCTCCCGCCGTGTTTTTACGCGAGCATGTCTGGGCTCTGACCCTTTCTGCAGAAGCCTCGATGACCGCCCCTCCGACCCCGCCCCGGGCCTGCTCGGTGTACGCGTCCGTGGGCGCGCCCGCCGGGGCGCCCATGCCCTGCCCGCCCATCATCGCCCCGCCCGGCGCCTGCCCGAACGCGCCTGGCGCCGACACGCCGCCGGCGCCCGGGTAGCCCGCGCCCGCGCCGG